GACCCGGTGTGAGACCCACACACGCGTGTTTGGTGCAAAGCATTATGGGAGATCATCCACTGCGCAGAACCGGGAGGACCAGACGATGCCCAAATACAGGCGAGTTTCCCATAGATCTTTGCGAGTTTCAGGCAACTTCCGCTAATCTTTCAGCCCCCATGCCGTCACAAAGCGCCACTGAGCACAACCATTCATTTGAATAGGGCGCCATCTTGGATCGCCGGGGCTTGGTGCGAGTGCGTAGGGTCCAGTCCCAATTCTCCAGGGAGGTCTTTGGCCCCGCCCCCTTTGCGCCCCTGATCCACACTTCGCCGTAGCCTGCATCTATGCGCACTCTGGCGAAGGATATTGCCCATAATTCTTTGCGGTACACACCAAAACGTCGGGAAAATGCATTTAAATATACATTTTGAAATATATATGCAGTATGTGTGTAAATAAGTTTTGCTGTGTTACTTGGAAAGAAGCATAAACGCCTGATGAAGAATTACGGACATTGTGTTTTAACAATTTAATAACTTTTTAAAGCAAGAGTTTATATAACATTCAATTTAAACTTTACACTTAGTACAATAATCTTAGAATGTATAAAAACTGACCAGATAGTTACCCACATTTAACTTAAAATTATACAGCTATCTCTAATTAGAAACCACTAATATACATGTATTTTAACGTGTGTGAAGCAATTCAATTTGTTTCCCAAAGGGTCAGACAAAGTTTAGGTCTGAAAATGACCATCTCTTGACGAGTCGATGACGTCACCTGCACTCAGTGCAATGTCCCAATTCCGCCTTTTGAGCACACTTGTAACCTGCGCACTCAAACCCTTGTGCGCACTTCAAACAAATGCACACTTCATAGGAGGACGTAGGGTGCAGTGTGGGTATTGGGACTGGGCCTATATGTGGCTGTGATTTTACGCACCATTGACCATTGTCTTGTGTCAGGTGCATGGGCCTAAAGAGTCCCCGGGGTAAGAACACCTGCACTTATGGTTCCGGCTGGACCAAGTCAATGAATTAGTGGAGGGGGGATTTAGCACTGTTTTAATCATAGTTTGTAAATACATATTTTTATAGGTAGGTGTTTTAGGAGTATATTTTTGTAGGGGGGTGTTTTATTAGTCATGTTGGTTGTAGGTATTTTAATGGAGGGCTTTAACAGTAACATTATTAGCTAATGTTAATGTTACACCACTGGAGTTTTAATTGGTTTTACCCAGTAGAATATAAAGCGCCCATGTTCATCATTTCACTGTCCTGCTGCTGGGGAACACATGCTCCTGTCCTCCAGTCACTGTGTTACTTTATTTTGCATTTTTGCACCCTTTTGTTTTTGCTTGCACTTGGTCACTTAAAAAGGAAGAAACTAAAAATAAGTGGACCCAGCCTGCCTCCGTCAACCTTTTGTTTGTTCTTTCTCACTGCCATTCAGCCGCTCAAGGCCTGTCCTGCTAACACAGCCTAAATCCCAACAGTAGTTATCTCAGAGGACCCCCGTTTAATTCACCAACACAGAACAATCTCAACTCAAACTAACCAGACTTAAGGCAGTCCATGTGTTGACATTGCTTGAGTTGAATTAAATGAACAGATTCATGTACAAATCAAAGTCTGCCTACAGGAAAACAAAGAAGCAGAGAGAAACACAGGAACAAAACAGAATAAACCAAACGTTATTAGTGCATAGAGGTTTTATTGCAGACAGAGGGAGGGGTGTAAAAGTCTGTGCTGTATCTACAAACATAACAGGGTTTAGCTATTGCAGTGACGCGCTCCACCAGTGGGAGGCGCTCTCCGCTCAGTCACAGAGAACACCTTCATCGTGCTTTGGCTGTAGGTCGCAGAGACCCGTGGTGCGTCCGCTGAGCAGGTGAGGGCCCGGACGATCTCCCTCCGGAACCTCCTGCTGACCATACAGTACAGCAGAAAGTTAGTGGTGGAGTTCAGGTTCTGCAGCATGTTGGCCACGTCCCCCGCCACGTTGATGGGGAGGCTGTAGTCGTCCCGATCAAAGTCCTCTTCGTTATGCATAGTTCTGAGGATGCAGTAAGTGACGAACCGCGGGAGACTGAGCACCACGAAGGCCACAGACACGGTCCCCAGCAGGAGCAGGGTCCTTCGCAGAACGCCCCGGCTCCTGCCCTGCATCACACGCCGCTCTTCTTTGGTGAAGAGGTTGTTGGCCCTGGACAGGTGGTACCCAATCAGGTAGTTGAATATAATAACAAGCACAATAGGCACACCTCCAGACAGAAAAGTAGTGATCCAAACAATCACGGTGGTGTAGGTGGCGTCTCGGTAGCGGCACCGCGGCAAAGACCCGTTGGTTCCATCTGTTGGAGTATAGTTCCCCGTGGAGACAAAGTTGATCCATCCCAGGGGCACGGAGACCAGATGGGAGGCCAGGACGATGCCCACGCACATGATCTTGGTCAGGCTGGATTTGGAGAAGTGCTGCTTGGCGCGGGTGCTGCGGAGGACAAGGTAACGCTCGATGGTGAAGACGACCACGATCCAGGAGGAGCTGTAGAGGGCGCCGTACTGCAGGAAGCCCAGGATGTTGCACCAGGGATGGGAGTGCCAGAAGGGGCGCACCAGCCAGAAGGTCAGGGTCAGGTCCACCAGGATCACCCACACGCAGTAGAACGTGTCCACGATGGCCAGGCAGCTCAGGTACACCATGGCCGACTTGGACATGCCGCACTTGTGGAAGCAGATCATGTAGAATGTGAAGAGATTGGCTGCAAAAGGAAGACACAAAAAACTACGTTTAATTTCATTTATTCTTGTATTTCCGTAAATCACAACAATAGTTATTCTCGGAGGACTCTAGAAAACTGTTGACTTTGCAAACACAGATCAGAGAATCACACACAAGACAGAAAACACATTGGTCCATAAGAGTTGATAAGGTCCTCAGCCACATCTACAACCTGAGCCTCAGCCTGGAGGAGGTCCCTGTGGGGGACAGGAGGCCCCTGGACTCTGGAGGAGGTGAGGGACAGGAGGCCCCTGGACTCTGTGGAGGAGGTGAGGGACAGGAGGCCCCTGGACTCTGTGGAGGAGGTGAGGGACAGGAGGCCCCTGGACTCTGTGGAGGAGGTGAGGGACAGGAGGCCCCTGGACTCTGAGGAGGAGGTGAGGGACAGGAGGCCCCTGGACTCTGTGGAGGAGGTGAGGGACAGGAGGCCCCTGGACTCTGTGGAGGAGGTGAGGGACAGGAGGCCCCTGGACTCTGTGGAGGAGGTGAGGGACAGGAGGCCCCTGGACTCTGAGGAGGAGGTGAGGGACAGGAGGCAGGAGGCCCCTGGACTCTGAGGAGGAGGTGAGGGACAGGAGGAGCCACTGTCACCTCCCACAGGACTGAGGAGGAGTTCCTTCAGTGGAAGAAGGAGCAGGGCCTTTATCCTCACCGCTGTCAGACTGTACAATAAGTCACTAATCCACTAGGACTGAAAACCTGCTGATATTGTCAGCACATATTATTGCACATAACATATATTTTAACCTTTAACATGTTTCACTTCTGTCTTTGGCACAATCTGAGTGACTCTGTGATGTCACATGAACATCTCTCCAGAGATCAATCTTAGATATATAGATGATATAAACAGTGGGTGTTAAACTGCTGAGCAGAACATGGACCAGAGAGAGACCAGAGAGAGACCAGAGAGAGAGACCAGAGAGAGACCAGAGAGAGACCAGAGAGGGACCAGAGAGAGACCAGAGAGGGACCAGAGAGAAAGACCAGAGAGAGACCAGAGAGAGACCAGAGAGAAAGACCAGAGAAAGACCAGAGAGAGACCAGAGAAAGATCAGAGAGAGAGACCAGAGAGAGAGACCAGAGAGAGACCAGAGAGAGACCAGAGAAAGACCAGAGAGAGACCAGAGAGAAAGACCAGAGAAAGATCAGAGAGAGAGACCAGAGAGAGAGACCAGAGAGAGAGACCAGAGAGAGAGACCAGAGAGAGAGACCAGAGAGAGACCAGAGAGAGACCAGAGAGCAAAAGTTTAGGGAACCATCAGATAAAGCAGAAGCACAGAACGCTCTCAATGAAGACCTGATAAAACCGAGACAGAAAAGTGGATCTGACTTCACAGGAGTTTAACTTTAACTTACGCTAAAGTCTCTGACCTGGGACCCCCACAGAGCACAGCAGACTGACCTGGGACCCCCACAGAGCACAGCAGACTGACTTGGGACCCCCACAGAGCACAGCAGACTGACCTGGGACCCCCACAGAACACAGCAGACTGACCTGGGACCCCCACAGAACACAGCAGACTGACCTGGGACCCCCACAGAGCACAGCAGACTGACCTGGGACCCCCACAGAACACAGCAGACTGACCTGGGACCCCCACAGAGCACAGCAGACTGACCTGGGACCCCCACAGAGCACAGCAGACTGACCTGGGACCCCCACAGAGCACAGCAGACTGACCTGGGACCCCCACAGAGCACAGCAGACTGACCTGGGACCCCCACAGAGTACAGCAGACTGACCTGGGACCCCCACAGAGCACAGCAGACTGACCTGGGACCCCCACAGAGCACAGCAGACTGACCTGGGACCCCCACAGAGTACAGCAGACTGACCTGGGACCCCCACAGAGTACAGCAGACTGACCTGGGACCCCCACAGAGCACAGCAGACTGACCTGGGACCCCCACAGAGCACAGCAGGGGGTAGTAGATCTTCTGCACCGTCACCAACGCTCCAGAGTCTGTCATTTTTAACTCCACTCAGCTCTCACCATCAGGGCCACTCTCAGATCATCACTGGGACCTGGTCCGACCTGGTCCGACCTGGTCCTGAGGCTGGAGGCTGCGTCTTCAGATCCCTGATAAGGGGCAGGTCACATGACCACGACCGCCCATCCCCAGCTCCAGTGTTTACTGATACTGTTGTCTAAAGCACTGGAGCGAATGCATTTGTCTTTTTCATAATGAGATAAAGAACACGTTGGTCCTCAGCTCCTCAGTTTTATGTTTACAGGAGAATTTCTATAATCCCAACATTTCAAGGGTTAGGATTATGGGATTAAGGGGTCAGGGTGTAGGGTTAGAGCATGGGTGTCAAAGTCAGGGCCCGGGGACCAGATCCAGCCCACACATGAATGATCTTGGTCCCAAAATGATACTTGTTTAGTATTAGAAGACAATGGATTATTCATTTAATGTTCAGGACGAGTGTTCTCTATGAAGGAAGTTTGTTTTTGTCTCTGAGTCTGTTGAAACATGTACAGACAGAGCCTTAATTCATTTAATCATTAAATAAAATCTGGTCCACTGTGTCAGGTCTTGGTTCAACAGGTTTTATGAATCGTTTTAATATGTTTTAATGAACAGTGAATCAGTCCTCAGCTTTAAGAACTTTTTTTTTTGGCCTCTGATGAATTTGAATTTGAGGGTTAGAGGGTTAGGGTTAATGTGCAGAAATCTCAATCTCAGACACGTGAAGTCTCAGGGACCAGGGCGAGCTCTGAGCTGAGGTCGTGGACCAGGGCGAGCTCTGAGAGCTCGAGCTCTGAGAGCTGAGGTCGTGGACCAGGGCGAGCTCTGAGAGCTGAGGTCGTGGACCAGGGCGAGCTCTGAGAGCTGAGGTCGTGGACCAGGGCGAGCTCTGAGAGCTGAGGTCGTGGACCAGGGCGAGCTCTGAGAGCTGAGGTCGTGGACCAGGGCGAGCTCTGAGAGCTGAGGTCGTGGACCAGGGCGAGCTCTGAGAGCTGAGGTCGTGGACCAGGGCGAGCTCTGAGAGCTGAGGTCGTGGACCAGGGCGAGCTCTGAGCTGAGGTCGTGGACCAGGGCGAGCTCTGAGAGCTGAGGTCGTGGACCAGGGCGAGCTCTGAGAGCTGAGGTTGTGGACCAGGGCGAGCTCTGAGAGCTGAGGTTGTGGACCAGGGCGAGCTCTGAGAGCTGAGGTCGTGGACCAGGGCGAGCTCTGAGAGCTGAGGTCGTGGACCAGGGCGAGCTCTGAGCTGAGGTCGTGGACCAGGGCGAGCTCTGAGAGCTGAGGTCGTGGACCAGGGCGAGCTCTGAGCTGAGGTCGGGGACCAGGGCGAGCTCTGAGCTGAGGTCGTGGACCAGGGCGAGCTCTGAGCTGAGGTCGTGGAGCAAATGGGAAAGTTTACGATGATGAGAGTCATTTGTTGGGTCTTCGTGCTCGCGGCTCAGGACGCCGCTCCTCGATGCACTTTCTCTCAGAGGAAACGTGGATGTTTGCTGCCCATCGATCTGTGCGAAGGACGGGGAGACTTTCCGCTGCGGACGACACTGATAAGGACTGGCTGTTTGCGTGAGGTAATAAAATTAAAGATAAGACATGTAGGAGTGTGGCCATCATCTGCTCACATAAAAATGGTCAATACACGTCGAAAAGACAGGTAGAGTTTCTGTGGATTTGTTTTGTTGTTTTCTGTTTAAACACTAAACAATAAATAATGTTAAAACAGCCATTTGTCCAGACTTCACATTTATACTTAATAACAGCGGCCAGTCCACGGCAACGGACTCATTACTGAGGCTTTTACTTTTACAACTTCATGACATCAAAACCACACCTGCAAGTGAAAGTCAGATCCTGTCAGACCTCTGAAGTTGAGCAGGACAGGACCTGGTTAATCCTGTGATGGGAGACCTCTGGGAGCAGCAGGTGCCACAGTGAGGCGGCTGCGGCTGTAAAGTGCCAAACTGTGGTTGTGTCCTTAAGCAAGACACTTCCCCCACATTAGAATGAGTCTGGTGTGTGTGTGAATGGTTGGTGGTGGTGGGAGGGGCCGATGGCACAGACTGGTTGCCTCGGTTCCGTCAGTGTGCCCCAGGGCAGCTGTGGCTACAGAATGAATAATGCCATGTGAAGCATCTTTGAGCGTCCTGAAAAGCGCTGTATAAAACTGATGCGTCGTCGTCGTTCTTTTCTTCTCATTTATAGTTTCTTTGGTTGGGACAGTACATGTTCATGAACACCTCACTCCGGGTTGTAGCCATGGGATCATTTGCATCCATTGTCCCACATTCACACTCTCAAACACACACTCATTCACCCTGATATATTGCACATGTTTTTAGTGGTAGGAAACCTACGCAGACACAGGGAGAGCATGCAAACTCTCAGCCTCCATGCCGCCCAAAGAGATTTCATGACACTTTGAAGCAGCTGTGGTTAAAGTTAAACTCATTCTAACAAACACTAACCCATTCTAACAGTACTTTTCCACCACATGTTTTTGTTTATCTCAAGGCCAAAGCTACTGGCGCCGCGACGAATGCTGATTGGACGATCAATCTTCCTCTTCCTTTATCATCTCACATTGTGTGAGACTTTATACTGGTCTACCATCAACAATGAAACACGTCTAAAACATGTCTTCTGTCTGAAAGACACGATCCCAGACGTTTGTCAGTTTCCTCAGTCGGTGGAGGATGTCATCTACAGAAGAAGTTCTTTTCTCTTTTTAAGATGAAACTGAAAAACCTCAAGAGAAACCTTGCACCTGGCTCAGGACTTGGACAATCTGAGACAGCCCTGATTCCAAAGAGACCTGCTGTAAGCTAAATGGACAAAACCATAGTCCTCTTTGCATGGACAGGATTTGGCCATTCTTTGGACTGAATTAGATTCCAGTAAGTGGACAAAAAAGCTGAACCGTGTGATTGAAACACACGTTACAGAAGAATTCACTCCATACACAATAAACTACTACTGTAGCCACAGCTGCCCTGGACCACACTGACAGAAGCGAGGCAACCAGTTTGTGCCCTTCGTCACACACACCAGACTCATTCTAGGGAATGTGAGTGAAGTGTCAGTTTGTCAGCTGGAGTTCCTGAAGGTCTCCCATCACATCAGCGGTCTGACAAGATCTTGGCTTTCACAGGTGGCGATAATCCCTTGGACGATGGTTCTGCTGCTCAGTGGATGTTCTGATTGGTCCCTACATAGATCAGCAGACTGACGTATGTGCGTTTGTTTATTCCACAAACAAATCCAACAGGACCTCTCTGTAAAGCCAAAAACCAAACCTCCAGAGAACAGAGGAACCTCTGGTCTCTTTCACAGACAGTTTTGGCCTCGTCTCTTTATAGCTCCAGGGTCCTCAAGTCTGAGGGATGAAGACAGTGGGTGCTGCTGAGATCAAAGACAAGGAATTGGTCATAGAAGGAGAAGGAGAGGGTCGGTGAGGGAGGGGGAGGGGTGAGGGAGGAGGGGTAAGGGAGGAGGGGTGAAGGAGGAGGGGTGAGGGGTGAGGGAGGAGGGGTGAGGGAGGAGGGAGGGAGGAGGGGTGAGAGAGGAGGGAGGGAGGAGGGGTGAGAGAGGAGGGGAGGGAGGAGGGGTGAGGGAGGAGGGAGGGAGGAGGGGTGAGAGAGGAGGGAGGGAGGAGGGGTGAGGGAGGAGGGGTGAGGGAGGAGGGAGGGAGGAGGGGTGAGAGAGGAGGGAGGGAGAAGGGGTGAGGGAGGAGGGGTGAGGGAGGAGGGAGGGAGGAGGGGTGAGAGAGGAGGGAGGGAGGAGGGGTGAGGGAGGAGGGGTGAGGGAGGAGGGGTGAGGGAGGAGGGAGGGAGGAGGGGTGAGGGAGGAGGGGTGAGGGAGGAGGGAGGGAGGAGGGGTGAGGGAGGAATAGGCTATGCACGTCTCTACACAAATATTTCCCTTCTGCGTGAGGCTGTTTGTGGAGGACACAGAGTGTGCTTTGTGCCCTCACCGCTATGTCTTGATCCCGCCCCTGGCTCCACGGTCTCAGACCTCCTTTTGGAGCTCCACAGACCACCTCACATCAGAGATGCTGCTGCATTTCTCCACGTTGCTCCTAATCCTCACACAAAAGGTAAGAAATGTTTTCAGTTGTGGATTGTACGTGGTTAAATTAAGAGAGAAACATGGAGTACGGGGTGTAACCTCCAAGATGTTGGTGAATATGGTTTGTGTGAGAAGTGGTCTTTGAAAGATGCATGAATGGCCCTGCTGTTATCACGGTCACACAGCTCACTCTGTCGCTGACACACAGGCTTCAGATATTTGGCATAGCATCACTGGGTCCTGCAGCAACACTGCTGGTTTGGATAGAATTTCACTTAAAACGTTGAACCCAAACAACTGTATGTGTTGCTCCAAAGCAAGACCCTCGTCCCCAAATACTTTAAAGTATGTTTTAATAAATGCCTCCATAAACATGTATAAAGATACAGTAGGGCTACAGAAACTAATATTCTGTGTTCCTCAGAGTCTGAGCAGCAGAACCACCAACAATGGGCCGTACGTGTCCGGTCGGGACGACCGAGTGGATCGTCGGCAGTTCTGCCAGTGGCCCTGTAAGTGTGGCCCCCGCACGCCCTGCGCCCCGGGGGTCAGCGCTGTGCTGGACGGATGCGGCTGCTGTAAGAGCTGCGCTCGTCAGATCGGAGAGAGATGTAACGAGAGGGACGTGTGCGACCCTCACAAGGGAATGTACTGTGACTTCTCTCGGGACCAGCCCAAGTACGAAGTTGGAGTCTGTGCCTGTGAGTATCAGAGCCAGAGCATGTTTCCAAAGAACCATGGGGGTTTCTAGTATCGAGTGTGTTTATTATGAGGCTCAGGGGGTTCTTTAAGCAATCAGCAAAAACTGAGTCATGAAGTCATGAACCCTAACTTTTGAAGGTCATTAACTTAAGTTTTGTTGATGGTGTATCTCAGACTTGATGGCAGTGGGCTGTGATCTGAACGGACGTCACTATGAGAACGGAGAGGCCTTCCAGCCGAGTCCGCTCTACAAGTGCACCTGCATCGGAGGAGCCGTCGGCTGCACCCCGGTTTTCATCCAGAAGCCTGCTGCCCTCTTAGGCCCCGCCTCTTTGATGGCCAGTGTCCCAGCAGGCCTCCAGAATCCTGCCGGAGTTAAAAAGCACAGACAGGACACGACCTACATGTCTGGTAAGAAAGCTTTAAAAACACCACACACTTTATGATTAAAACAGTAACACTCATGTGAGTCAGGGCGTATTCTGACCCGCAGCCCAGATCACAGAACATTCAACACACCGCCTTTAACTGTAACAATGAAAGCTTACAGGGATCCTCCTTTAGTCTGGAAGAAGAACTGCCTGGTCCAGAGCACGCCCTGGAGTCCGTGTTCCAAGAGCTGTGGCGTCGGCATCTCTGTGCGCATCAACAACAACAACAGCAAGTGCCACATGAGGAAGGAGCGGCGGCTGTGTCTGCTGCGGCCCTGCGACCCGGCGCTCCTCAGAACCATCAAGGTGAGTCTCAGAACCATCAAGGTGAGTCTCAGAACCATCAAGGTGAGTCACAGAACCATCAAGGTGAGTCACAGAAACAAGCATCTGTGTTCAGTCCAAACCTGTGGCTGATAATAGAACCTCCATCCATCTTCTTCCCCTTAATCTATTTCTGGGTCGGGGGTGGCAGTCAGAGCTACACCCAGTACACAGTCCCAGTACCAGCCCCTGACTGATCCTCCTGGTCCTCCTGCTCCTCCTGGTCCTCACTGATCCTCTTGCTCCTCCTGGTCCTCCTGGTCCTCTTGCTCCTCCTGGTCCTCACTGATCCTCTTGCTCATCCTGGTCCTCACCGATCCTCCTGCAGGTGCTGAGTCCACCAGAGGCTGCTCTGTCAGTGAGAGCACAGCCTTGATCTTTCAGCTGGAACTTCAGGCAAAGTGGGGTAAAGTGTTTTGCCCAAGGACACAACAACAGCAGACATCAGGGGAGTCGGTGGAGAAGGCCTCATGGTGGGCTCAAACCTGAGTCTCCTCTCCTGGTCCCCTCTCCTGGTCTCCTCTCCTGGTCCCCTCTCCTGGTCCCCTCTCCTGGTCCCCTCTCCTGGTCCCCTCTCCTGGTCTCCTCTCCTGGTCTCCTCCCCTGGTCTCCTCTCCTGGTCCCCTCTCCTGGTCTCCTCTCCTGGTCTCCTCCCCTGGTCCCCTCTCCTGGTCTCCTCCCCTGGTCTCCTCTCCTGGTCTCCTCTCCTGGTCTCCTCCCCTGGTCTCCTCCCCTGGTCTCCTCCCCTGGTCTCCTCCCCTGGTCTCCTCCCCTGGTCTCCTCTCCTGGTCTCCTCTCCTGGTCTCCTCTCCTGGTCTCCTCTCCTGGTCTCCTTTCCTAAATTAAATGAACTTCAGACCTACTTTGCAACTCCCACTGATGTCTGCTGTCATTGTGTCCTTGGGCAAGACACTTAACCCCACTTTGCCTGAAGCCCCCGCTGAAAGATCTCAGCTCCTGTGGACTCAGCATCTGCAGGAGGATCAGTGAGGGGCTGGTGCTCTGACTGCCACCCCTGACACAGAAATGGATTAAGGGGAAGAAAATGGCTGCATGTATGAAATGGACTGCAGAAGACTGTACCCCCAGCAGAGGGAGCCAGAGTACTGTCAGTGGGACCAGTAACAGAGGTTTCAAGTCCCACAAACTACAAACTCATATTTTCTCCACAGGCGCCAAAGGGAAAGACATGTCGGCCCAGCTTCCAGGCCAAAAAGGCGGAGAAGCTGAGTCTGTCTGGATGTACGAGCACCAAGAAGCTGCGGCCGCTGTACTGTGGCGTGTGCAGAGACCAGCGCTGCTGCGTGCCCAACAAGTCCCGCATGATCCCGGTCAGCTTCACCTGCAGAGACGGCTCCAGCGCGCAGTGGCAGATGCAGTGGATCTCTTCTTGCGTCTGTCAGAGGAAGTGCAGCGAGCCGGGGGACATGTTCTCAGAGCTGCATCTGCTCTGAGCCACGGAGAGGAAACTGAAGCCGTCACGGAGAGGAAACTGAAGCCGTCACGGAGAGGAAACTGAAGCCGCCACGAATCAAAAACACCTCAGAAATATTGATAAACGTATAAATGTGTGCATCCATCTGTGCTCGCAAGATGCATGTGGATGACCGTAATGCTCTTTTTCCACAGTATTTATTAAAAAATATGTCAAACATGGTTATGAGTACGAGTTCTTGTGTTTGTAGTGAGTCCAAACAGGAAAAAAAGAAAGGCTCTAATGCTGCAGCAAACACAGGAGAGAATAAGGAGTGAAATACATTTAAAATCACAAAGGCAAAGTTTGGTGTTGCTATGGTAATGTTCTCTGGTTCTCCCGATTCTGCGCAGTGGACGAGCTCCCATGATGCTTTGTGCCAAATAAGTGTGTGTCTCTCATGCACGTGCACAGAGGGCAGTGTTCTGACCAATCAGAGCAGGAGACGATCGAGCAGAGTTTGTTCCAGTAAAGTGTGGATTTATAGAAAACCTTTGGGAAAGATATAGGTTCTCTGTCAGGTTCTCTGTCAGGTTCTCGGTCAGGTTCTCTGTCAGGTTCTCTGTCAGGTTCTCTGTCAGGTTCTCGGTCAGGTTCTCTGTCAGGTTCTCTGTCAGGTTCTCTGTCAGGTTCTCGGTCAGGTTCTCGGTCAGGTTCTCGGTCAGGTTCTCTGTCAGGTTCTCTGTCAGGTTCTCTGTCAGGTTCTCGGTCAGGTTCTCGGTCAGGTTCTCGGTCAGGTTCTCGGTCAGGTTCTCGGTCAGGTTCTCTGTCAAGTTCTCGGTCAGGTTCTCGGTCAGGTTCTCGGTCAGGTTCTCTGTCAGGTTCTCTGTCAGGTTCTCGGTCAGGTTCTCGGTCAGGTTCTCTGTCAAGTTCTCGGTCAGGTTCTCGGTCAGGTTCTCGGTCAGGTTCTCTGTCAGGTTCTCTGTCAGGTTCTCTGTCAGGTTCTCTGTCAAGTTCTCTGTCAAGTTCTCTGTCAGGTTCTCTGTCAGGTTCTCTGTCAGGTTCTCGGTCAGGTTCTCGGTCAGGTTCTCGGTCAGGTTCTCTGTCAGGTTCTCTGTCAGGTTCTCTGTCAGGTTCTCGGTCAGGTTCTCGGTCAGGTTCTCGGTCAGGTTCTCGGTCAGGTTCTCGGTCAGGTTCTCGGTCAGGTTCTCGGTCAGGTTCTCGGTCAGGTTCTCGGTCAGGTTCTCGGTCAGGTTCTCGGTCAGGTTCTCTGTCAGGTTCTCTGTCTGGTTCTCTGTCAGGTTCTCTGTCAGGTTCTCTGTCAGGTTCTCAGTTGAGGTCCAGCTGTTGTAGTTCTATGGACATTTTTCTGGGTAACGTGAAAGTAGTCTGCAATACCACAGCGCCCCCTGTGGCCATGGAGGGGACAGCTATAAGCTAATACTCTCTCCAGATATTATGATAGAACCCTGGTGTGTGTGTGTATGTATGAATGTGTGCGTCTGTTTCCTCGTCAGTCATGTGTGTTGCTATGAAAGCTGCTTGTTTTAAATGTCACCTGAGACCGTAGTTACTCCGTGTGTTTCCTGCAGCTCAGACTCTCATCAGTGACCCAGGATCAGTCACTCACTGCAGCAGACGGAGTTATGAGGCGATACTGAGCCGAGGAGCAGAGGCCACTTTGTCTTTGGTCATGTGCAGCTGTCGGTACTCTTCAATCAGAGAGTTCAGAGAGGACAGCGCCTCTGAGAAGGTGCTCTGCTCCAGTCCCTCCACGTTCAGGTAGTGATGAAGATGAGCCTACAGACAAAAGACCAGACGGGGATTTGAAGAAGGCCTCACTATTGAAGATTAGCATGGTCAAAAACACATATTCACTACTGCAGCCAGAGCCGCCCTGGGGCACAGAAGCCACTGGCAACCAGTCTGTGCCATCTGCCCCTCCCACACACATACACCAGTACACATACATCAGTACACATGCATCAGTACACATACATCAGTGCTATATTAGTACACATACATCAGTACACATACATCAGTACACATGCATCAGTACACATACATTAGTACACATACATCAGTACACATACATCAGTACACATACATCAGTACACATGCATCAGTACACATACATCAGTACATACATGTATACATCAGTACACATACATCAGTACACATGCATCAGTACACATACATCAGTACATACATGTATACATCAGTACACATACATCAGTGCTATATTAGTACACATACATCAGTACATACATGTATACATCAGTACACATACATCAGTGCTATATTAGTACACATACATCAGTACACAGACATCAGTACACATACATCAGTACACATACATGTATACATTAGTACACATACATCAGTACACATACATCAGTACACATGCATCAGTACACATGCATCAGTACACATGCATCAGTACACATGCATCAGTACACAAGTACACATACATCAGTACACATACATCAGTGCTATATAAGTACACATACATCAGTACACATACATCAGTACACATACATCAGTACACATACATCAGTACACATACACCAGTACACATACACCAGTACACATACACCAGTACACATACACCAGTACACATACATCAATACACATACACCAGTACACATACATCAGTACACATACATCAGTACACATACATCAGTACACATACATCAGTACACATACATCAGTACACATACATCAGTACACATACATCAGTACACATACACCAGTACACATACATCAGTACACATACATCAGTACAGGGACTGCCATGTGCCGCAGACCTTTCTCCGGTACAGTTTACTGAAGCGGTCCCTGAGGCGTCCGAACGTGTCCTGGAGGCAGGTGTTGTTGGTCAGAGCGAGCAGAGAGTGGGCGTGTCCCACCGGGGGCACCGAGCACAGCGCCGCCTTCCAGCCCTCCTGGTTCCACCGCACGAACGGCAGCGTGGGCCGGAGTCTGCGGACACACCAGGAACAAGGTACCAGTGACAAGGTACCAGTCACAAGGTATCAGTGACAAGGTACCAGTGACAAGGTACCAGTGACAAGGTACCAGTGACAAGGTACCAGTGACAAGGTACCAGTGACAAGGTACCAGTGACAAGGTACCAGTCACAAGGTACCAGTCACAAGGTACCAGTCACAAGGTACCAGTGACAAGGTACCAGTGACAAGGTACCAGTGACAAGGTACCAGGGACAAGGTACCAGTCACAAGGTACCAGTGACAAGGTACCAGGGACAAGGTACCAGTGACAAGGTACCAGTGACAAGGCACCAGTGACAAGGTACCAGTGACAAGGTACCAGTGACAAGGTACCAGTCACATGGTACCAGTGACATGGTACCAGTGACAAGGTACCAGTGACAAGGTACCAGTCACAAGGTACCAGTGACAAGGTACAAGTGACAAGGTACCAGTGACAAGGTACCAGTCACAAGGTACCAGTGACAAGGTACCAGTGACAAGGTACCAGTCACAAGGTACCAGTGACAAGGTACCAGTCACAAGGTACCAGTCACAAGGTACCAGTGACAAGGTACCAGTGACAAGGTACCAGTGACAAGGTACCAGTCACAAGGTACCAGTCACAAGGTACCAGTGACAAGGTACCAGTGACAAGGTACCAGTGACAAGGTACCAGTGACAAGGTACCAGTGACAAGGTACCAGTGACAAGGTACCAGTGACAAGGTACCAGTGACAAGGTACCAGTGACAAGGTACCAGTGACAAGGTACCAGTCACAAGGTACCAGTCACAAGGTACCAGTCACAAGGTACCAGTCACAAGGTACCAGTGACAAGGTACCAGTGACAAGGTACCAGTGACAAGGTACCAGGGACAAGGTACCAGTCACAAGGTACCAGTGACAAGGTACCAGGGACAAGGTACCAGTGACAAGGTACCAGTGACAAGGCACCAGTGACAAGGTACCAGTGACAAGGCACCAGTGACAAGGTACCAGTGACAAGGTACCAGTGACAAGGTACCAGTCACATGGTACCAGTGACATGGTACCTTTGACAAGGTACCAGTGACAAGGTACCAGTCACAAGGTACCAGTGACAAGGTACCAGTGACAAGGTACCAGTGACAAGGTACCAGTCACAAGGTACCAGTGACAAGGTACCAGTGACAAGGTACCAGTCACAAGGTACCAGTGACAAGGTACCAGTCACAAGGTACCAGTCACAAGGTACCAGTCACAAGGTACCAGTCACAAGGTACCAGTCACAAGGTACCAGTGACAAGGTACCAGTCACAAGGTAAAGAGCAGAGAGGATTCATGGTTTTACACTGGTCCAGACCAGAGCAGAGAGGATTCATGGTTTTACACTGGTCCAGACCAGAGCAGAGAGGATTCATGGTTTTACACTGGTCCAGACCAGAGCAGAGAGGATTCATGGTTTTACACTGGTCCAGTTAGATTTTTAGAATGATCTATTTTATTTTTGCTGCTACTGGACACCTGCATTTCTCCTAGGGGGGGGGGGTCATCTATCCATCTATCACAGGCCTGAAAACATGAGGAAGTGGGAGGAGTCTGGTGTGCATGGTTGAAGTGAAAACCTGCATCCACACAAACCCTTTTGGAACCAGTTGGACACCGGCTACAGACCGGGCAGAGAGCCTGACCCGGACCCGGACCCGGACCCTGACCCTGACCCTGACCCTGACCCGGACCCGGACCCGGACCCGGACCCTGACCCTGACCCGGACCCTGACCCTGACCCTGACCCTGACCCTGACCCTGACCCTGACCCGGACCCGGACCCTGACCCTGACCCAGACCCGGACCCGGACCCGGACCCTGACCCGGACCCTGACCCGGACCCGGACCCGGACTCGGACCCTGACCCTGACCCTGACCCTGACCCTGACCCGGACCCGGACCCGGACCCGGACCCTGACCCTGACCCGGACCCGGACCCGGACCCTGACCCGGACCCTGACCCGGACCCGGACCCGGACCCTGACCCTGACCCTGACCCTGACCCTGACCCGGACCCGGACCCTGACCTCTGGATGTTCCGTCTGAGGTCGGACACGCCCACGTCTCCGCGCAGCAGCAGAGCACAGGCCAAGTACAGACCGGTCCTCGGCTCGGCCTCGATCAGCTGCTGCTCTTTACTGAAGGCATCACTGAACATCTGGTCCAACCTGCGGACGAAGAGTCACAAAAACATTCCATCTCATCATAAAGTCTCAGATTGTAATTAGAAATAGGAACGCAAACAGAAAAGGCAGAACTTTGTCACATGCTAAAATGAATGAGCTATGACTTATTTACTAATTAGCACTTAATAGTTAGTTAGGGCTAAACTGAACGTTGATTTCATTTGGTGCTTTTTTAAAGAAACTCAAAGCCGCTTGAATGTGCAGCAGAAGGAGAGCAGGGTCTGAGAGGAGCTGCAGGTGAAGCTTTGTGCTTCTCTTGCAGAGAGTTAAGCCTTTCAGAAGAATTTTACTGAAAAATTTTTGAATAATTAGGTTACTGTGAATGTATGTGGAGTAGTAGTAGTAAGTAATCTTTATTTATATTTTCACTGCAGATCTGAGTCTCAAAGCGGTTTACAATTGTTATTTTTGGGAATTTGTCTCTCGCTCCACACAGAGATGGGCGGGGCCAGTACAGGAGGCACAGAACTATTGTACATATTTTCAGTGGTAGGGGAAACCGGAGTACCCGGAGGAAACCTACTCAGACTCCACAAACTCCACTCAGAAAGACACTGGTCCGACCATGATTCGAACCCAGGACCTTCTTGCTGAGAGGCGAGAGTGCTATCCACTCAGCCACTCGTGGACTTGGGTAAATGCAGACTGTAAAGAAGTTCGCTATGGAAATACTAAAATGTCTGGTTTTACAAGAGAAAAAGACTTGTTTCCTTTTGCCAAATGTTCTTTATAAAGTGAATAGAATGTTGGGGTCAGACCTCCGGGGGGGCAGGCCCACGTCTGCCAGGCTGTAGAGCGGAGTGAGACTGGGGACCAGGTAGTGCAGTCCAGGAAATGGAACCAAGTTCATTGGAATCTCATTCAGATCCATGTTGAGAGAGCCGGGGAAGCGCGCAGAGCTGAGACACATGTGTACCATATGTTTTTAAAACATGATATAATTATCAACTCTAATGGTTACAGACCATATGTTTTTAAAACATGATATAATTATCAACTCTAATGGTTACAGACCATATGTTTTTAAAACATGATATAATTATTAAGTCTGTAATGGTTACAGACCTGGTGACGTGCAGCAGAAGGTTGGCCACAATGTTGTTCATAGAATCAAAGGGTTTGTCTCCCGCTGAAACCACAGACTGCTGCCTGATGCGGTTCACCAGATTCACCAACGACTTTCAGGAGAAACAAGCACAGATTAGCTTTAGCTTTAGATTCACACATTACAATTGTATTCATTTTTAAGCAAAACATTTGATACTGAACACCCTGAAGAAGTGATGGGGGAGAGGTGTAGGGTCAGAGAGTGTTTGGGCCATGTCTCGTCTAGTATTGAGTAAGAGCGGGATCTGCTTCGTCCAATCTACAGAGAGGAGGCCACAGAGAGGAGGCCACAGAGAGGAGGAGGCTACAGAGAGGAGGAGGCTACAGAGAGAGAGGAGGCTACAGAGAGGAGGCCACAGAGAGGAGGCCACAGAGAGGAGGCCACAGAGAGGAGGCTACAGAGAGGAGGCCACAGAGAGGAGCAGGCTACAGAGAGGAGGCCACAGAGAGGAGGCCACAGAGAGGAGGCCACAGAGAGGAGGCTACAGAGAGGAGGCCACAGAGAGGAGGCCACAGAGAGGAGCAGGCCACAGAGAGGAGGCCACAGAGAGGAGGCCACAGAGAGGAGGCCACAGAGAGGAGGCCACAGAGAGGAGGCCACAGAGAGGAGGCCACAGAGAGGAGGCTACAGAGAGGAGGCCACAGAGAGGAGCAGGCTACAGAGAGGAGGCCACAGAGAGGAGGCCACAGAGAGGAGGCCACAGAGAGGAGGCCACAGAGAGGAGGCCACAGAGAGGAGGCCACAGAGAGGAGGCTACAGAGAGGAGGCCACAGAGAGGAGCAGGCCACAGAGAGGAGGCCACAGAGAGGAGGCCACAGAGAGGAGGCCACAGAGAGGAGGTCACAGAGAGCAGGAGGCTACAGAGAGGAGGAGGCTACAGAGAGGAGGCCACAGAGAGGAGGCCACAGAGAGGAGGCCACAGAGAGGAGGAGGCTACAGAGAGGAGGAGGCCACAGAGAGGAGGCCACAGAGAGGAGGCCACAGAGAGGAGGAGGCCACAGAGAGGAGGCCACAGAGAGGAGGCCACAGAGAGGAGGCCACAGAGAGGAGGTCACAGAGAGCAGGAGGCTACAGAGAGGAGGAGGCTACAGAGAGGAGGCCACAGAGAGGAGGAGGCCACAGAGAGGAGGCCACAGAGAGGAGGAGGCTACAGAGAGGAGGAGGCCACAGAGAGGAGGCCACAGAGAGGAGGCCACAGAGAGGAGGAGGCCACAGAGAGGAGGAGGCCACAGAGAGGAGGCCACAGAGAGGAGGCCACAGAGAGGAGGCCACAGAGAGGAGGCCACAGAGAGGAGGCCACAGAGAGGAGGCCACAGAGAGGAGGAGGCCACAGAGGAGGCCACAGAGAGGAGGCCACAGAGAGGAGGCCACAGAGAGGAGGCCACAGAGAGGAGGCCACAGAGAGGAGGCCACAGAGAGGAGGCCACAGAGAGGAGGCCACAGAGAGGAGGCCACAGAGAGGAGGCCACAGAGAGGAGGCCACAGAGAGGAGCAGGCCACAGAGAGGAGGCCACAGAGAGGAGGCCACAGAGAGGAGGCCACAGAGAGGAGGTCACAGAGAGGAGGCCACAGAGAGGAGCAGGCCACAGAGAGGAGGCCACAGAGAGGAGGTCACAGAGAGCAGGAGGCTACAGAGAGGAGGAGGCTACAGAGAGGAGGCCACAGAGAGGAGGCCACAGAGAGGAGGCCACAGAGAGGAGGAGGCTACAGAGAGGAGGAGGCCACAGAGAGGAGGCCACAGAGAGGAGGCCACAGAGAGGAGGAGGCCACAGAGAGGAGAGGAGGCCACAGAGAGGAGGCCACAGAGAGGAGGAGGAGGCCACAGAGAGGAGGCCACAGAGAGGAGGCCACAGAGAGGAGGCCACAGAGAGGAGGCCACAGAGAGGAGGCCACAGAGAGGAGGCCACAGAGAGGAGGCCACAGAGAGGAGGCCACAGAGAGGAGGCCACAGAGAGGAGGCCACAGAGAGGAGGCCACAGAGAGGAGGCCACAGAGAGGAGGCCACAGAGAGGAGGCCACAGAGAGGAGGCCACAGAGAGGAGGCTACAGAGAGGAGGCCACAGAGAGGAGCAGGCCACAGAGAGGAGGCCACAGAGAGGAGGCCACAGAGAGGAGGCCACAGAGAGGAGGCCACAGAGAGGAGCAGGCCACAGAGAGGAGGCCACAGAGAGGAGGTCACAGAGAGCAGGAGGCTACAGAGAGGAGGAGGCTACAGAGAGGAGGCCACAGAGAGGAGGCCACAGAGAGGAGGAGGCTACAGAGAGGAGGAGGCCACAGAGAGGAGGCCACAGAGAGGAGGCCACAGAGAGGAGGAGGCCACAGAGAGGAGGAGGCCACAGAGAGGAGGAGGCCACAGAGAGGAGGCCACAGAGAGGAGGCCACAGAGAGGAGGCCACAGAGAGCAGGAGGCTACAGAGAGGAGGAGGCTACAGAGAGGAGGCCACAGAGAGGAGGAGGCCACAGAGAGGAGGCCACAGAGAGGAGGAGGCCACAGAGAGGAGGAGGCCACAGAGAGGAGGCCACAGAGAGGAGGCCACAGAGAGGAGGAGGCCACAGAGAGGAGGAGGCCACAGAGAGGAGGCCACAGAGAGGAGGCCACAGAGAGGAGGCCACAGAGAGGAGGCCACAGAGAGGAGGCCACAGAGAGGAGGAGGCCACAGAGGAGGCCACAGAGAGGAGGCCACAGAGAGGAGGCCACAGAGAGGAGGCCACAGAGAGGAGGCCACAGAGAGGAGGCCACAGAGAGGAGGCCACAGAGAGGGGGCCACAGAGAGGAGGCCACAGAGAGGAGGCCACAGAGAGGAGGCCACAGAGAGGAGGCTACAGAGAGGAGGCCACAGAGAGGAGCAGGCCACAGAGAGGAGGCCACAGAGAGGAGGCCACAGAGAGGAGGCCACAGAGAGGAGGTCACAGAGAGCAGGAGGCTACAGAGAGGAGGAGGCTACAGAGAGGAGGCCACAGAGAGGAGGCCACAGAGAGGAGGCCACAGAGAGGAGGCCACAGAGAGGAGGCCACAGAGGAGGCTACAGAGAGGAGGCCACAGAGAGGAGGAGGCCACAGAGAGGAGGAGGCTACAGAGAGGAGGCCACAGAGAGGAAGAGGCTACAGAGAGGAGGCCACAGAGAGGAGGCCACAGAGAGGAGGCCACAGAGAGGAGGTCACAGAGAGGAGGAGGCTACAGAGAGGAGGCCACAGAGAGGAGGAGGCTACAGAGAGGAGGCCACAGAGAGGAGGCCACAGAGAGGAGGCCACAGAGAGGAGGCCACAGAGAGGAGGCCACAGAGAGGAGGTCACAGAGAGCAGGAGGCTACAGAGAGGAGGAGGCTACAGAGAGGAGGCCACAGAGAGGAGGAGGCCACAGAGAGGAGGCCACAGAGAGGAGGCCACAGAGAGGAGGCCACAGAGAGGAGGCCACAGAGGAGGCTACAGAGAGGAGGCCACAGAGAGGAGGAGGCTACAGAGAGGAGGAGGCCACAGAGAGGAGGCCACAGAGAGGAGGCCACAGAGGAGGCTACAGAGAGGAGGCCACAGAGAGGAGGAGGCTACAGAGAGGAGGAGGCTACAGAGAGGAGGCCACAGAGAGGAGGAGGCCACAGAGAGGAGGCCACAGAGAGGAGGCCACAGAGAGGAGGCCACAGAGAGGAGGCCACAGAGGAGGCTACAGAGAGGAGGCCACAGAGAGGAGGAGGCCACAGAGAGGAGGAGGCTACAGAGAGGAGGCCACAGAGAGGAGGAGGCTACAGAGAGGAGGCCACAGAGAGGAGGCCACAGAGAGGAGGCCACAGAGAGGAGGCTACAGAGAGGAGGCCACAGAGAGGAGGCTACAGAGAGGAGGCCACAGAGAGGAGGCCACAGAGAGGAGGCCACAGAGAGGAGGCCACAGAGAGGAGGCTACAGAGAGGAGGCCACAGAGAGGAGGCCACAGAGAGGAGGCCACAGAAAGGAGGCCACAGAGAGGAGGTTACAGAGAGGAGGAGGCTACAGAGAGGAGGTTACAGAGAGGAGGAGGCTACAGAGAGGAGGCCACAGAGAGGAGGTCACAGAGAGGAGGAGGCTACAGAGAGGAGGCCACAGAGAGGAGGCCACAGAGAGGAGGTTACAGAGAGGAGGCCACAGAGAGGAGGTTACAGAGAGGAGGCCACAGAGAGGAGGCCACAGAGAGGAGGTTACAGAGAGGAGGCCACAGAGAGGAGGAGGCCACAGAGAGGAGGAGGCCACAGAGAGGAGGAGGCCACAGAGAGGAGGCCACAGAGAGGAGGCCACAGAGAGGAGGAGGCCACAGAGAGGAGGAGGCCACAGAGAGGAGGAGGCCACAGAGAGGAGGCCACAGAGAGGAGGCCACAGAGAGGAGGAGGCTACAGAGAGGAGGCCACAGAGAGGAGGAGGTCACAGAGAGGAGGCCACAGAGAGGAGGAGGCCACAGAGAGGAGGAGGTCACAGAGAGGAGGCCACAGAGAGGAGGAGGTCACAGAGAGGAGGCCACAGAGAGGAGGAGGCCACAGAGAGGAGGCCACAGAGAGGAGGTTACAGAGAGGAGGCCACAGAGAGGAGGTTACAGAGAGGAGGCCACAGAGAGGAGGCCACAGAGAGGAGGTTACAGAGAGGAGGCCACAGAGAGGAGGAGGCCACAGAGAGGAGGAGGCCACAGAGAGGAGGCCACAGAGAGGAGGCCACAGAGAGGAGGAGGCCACAGAGAGGAGGAGGCCACAGAGAGGAGGAGGCCACAGAGAGGAGGAGGCCACAGAGAGGAGGCCACAGAGAGGAGGCCACAGAGAGGAGGCCACAGAGAGGAGGAGGCCACAGAGAGGAGGCCACAGAGAGGAGGAGGCCACAGAGAGGAGGCCACAGAGAGGAGGCCACAGAGAGGAGGCCACAGAGAGGAGGCCACAGAGAGGAGGAGGCTACAGAGAGGAGGCCACAGAGAGGAGGAGGTCACAGAGAGGAGGCCACAGAGAGGAGGCCACAGAGAGGAGGAGGTCACAGAGAGGAGGCCACAGAGAGGAGGAGGCCACAGAGAGGAGGAGGTCACAGAGAGGAGGAGGTCACAGAGAGGAGGCCACAGAGAGGAGGCCACAGAGAGGAGGAGGCCACAGAGAGGAGGCCACAGAGAGGAGGTGGTACCTGGTTCTCCACGGGCAGGACACAGTCGGCGTGCTCGCTCAGCTCCCTCGTGGCCAGGACGCTGTTGTACGGAGACGTGACGACGTCGTCCTCCTCCGAGGGATACACAGACGTGACGATCCGACACACTTCCGGAAACTCGTCCTCCAGAAGACTCAGGACCCTGGTGCCGAGGCCGGAGCCAGTGCCTGCAATTGGAGTCATGGATTTATTTATTTAACCTTTATTTAACCAGGAATAATCCCATTGAGATTAAGAACAAAAGGCAGCAAAGTTACACAATGACATTAAAGAAACACAGATATACAGACTACACACATCAAACTCAATTCAAAGTATTTCTGTACACCACCAACTCACAACAGTAGTTTTCTCAGAGGACTTTAAAAAGTTGTTGATTCACCAAAACAGATCAGAGAATCAAACGGTTCAAAATCACACTAACATATGAAAGGACTACGTTTTTTTCTATAGGCAAATAAATATATTACTGTAAATACATACAGCTTCTTATCTCTGTGAATGTGGGAAGAATAAAGGTTCTATAATCTTATCTGCTCTAAAATGCCACTGTGCATGAAGCCTAAAGTGGCTTAATACATACACAAATACATATTAATAATTTACTAATTGAAACACATTGAAATGAAGACGTATTTCTCAATGTAGTAAAACTGGACATGACCTCCTCCCATGGAGTGGATGAGGAAGAAGCACTGCAGACAGTCACAGTGCTCCGCCGCCTTCCGGAGCGTGTCCACGATCTGTTCTCTGTACGCACCGCCGTAAGTGAAGTATCCCGCTGCCCTGAAGGGAACAGCTCACGTTGGTTTGATCGTCAGAAAGGATCGACCTCCTGATCACACTCACCAGTTGTTGCCAGATCCAGACACGTCGGTGAGAAGCTGTGTGCTGTCAAACACATCCCTGAGCGGCCCCTGGAGAATCTGATTGACCACGCCCTCCTCCATATCCACCAGCACGGCCTGAACACACGCCAATAACACACTTATTTATTATTTGGACAATGGGAACATTTAGTGACCTTCACAAATGTCATAAATGCCTCTTTAACGCTGTGAAAACAACAGGACAAAGATGCAATCAAAATACAGTTCCTCTCTCTGGTACAAAAATGAAAATGTAAAATTAGTTTTGTTTGTGTGTCCTACTTAAAAAGGAGGTGGGAAAACTACTAGGGATACAGGACACATGGGAGACCCTTGGAACAGCCTTGCCCCAGGTAAACAACCACTTTTATATGAATCCTTTAAGAACCAACACGTACAGAATGATTGGAGACTAACCCTGGCCTTCAGCTGATGGATTCTTCCACCGACACCGACACTTCCTCCACAGCTTTGCCTGAAAACATGCCACGACAGAAAGTCAAAATCTACTAAAGACAAATGTGATACAACTACAAACCACTCACCGAGAATCCACATTTCTGAAAAAACTGCTTATAGCTTCATCATAAAGTCCTTTCTGAAAAAACACAAATTTACAGTAATAGCAATTGTTCCATATCCATAGAAATCATTTATTTATTATAGATATGCAGACTTTAGATTGAGCAATGTTATGTAATGTAATGCTATGTTTGCTAACTGATCATGTACTAAAGTACATCAAGAAAAATATGAGATTTACTTTGTTGACGTGGGCGTGTTCTCTCAGCGCCAGATCCCAAAACCTGCATCCGATTTGGTTTCCACACTGCCCCACTGCAACACACGACACTAGTACAGCCAAAGTACCACAGAACAGAGATATATACTGTCTATGTAACTACAGAGTACAGACAGTAAATACTTCAGTATCTGCAGCACGGACACTTTCCATCAGGTCAGAAATATAGAGATCATACTGGACTCCACATCTTCAGCTTTTTACCATCTGAAAACCATCTCCAGGATCAAAAATATAGTTTCTAGAGCAATTCTTATCCATATTATTGTAATACAGCTGTAGTATAAAACACTGCAGCTCGAGTCCTGACAAGAACCAGGAAGTACCATCACATTAGTCCTGGTCTGAGGTCTCTGTTCTGTGGCTCAGAGAATAGACTTTACAATAGTTCTGCTTGTTTCTCCATGGCCTCAAAGTACCAACTCTGAGGAGCACAGGGACTGGCCTCCTGCTGGGACTCTGAGGAGCACAGGGACTGGCCTCCTACTGGGACTCTGAGGAGCACAGGGACTGGCCTCCTACTGGGACTCTGAGGAGCACAGGGACTGGACTCCTACTGGGACTCTGAGGAGCACAGGGACTGGCCTCCTACTGGGACTCTGAGGAGCACAGGGACTGGCCTCCTACTGGGACTCTGAGGAGCACAGGGACTGGTCTCCTGCTGGGACTCTGAGGAGCACAGGGACTGGTCTCCTGCTGGGACTCTGAGGAGCACAGGGACTGTTTAAATCCAGGTTAAAAACTGTTCAGTTTATTTGAGCTAAAACTGAAGGATTTTATCTTCACTATTTTAATGCACTGTAATTATTTGTGATTTTAACACGTATGATTATAATGTTTCTATATTTAAAAATGTTGTTGTCTGAACTTTTCTGAACAAAAACACTTCTTACAGTCTATGGTCTTGCTTCACTAAAGTTTATTTATATCACACATTTCATACACATAACAAGAAACAATCACACAAAACTCATCACAGTGCATTGAAAAGAAAGAAGGTAAATGTTTTTAACCTGTTTTTGAACATTTTCAGAGAACAAGCCTGTGTCACATTTTCAGGAAGACGGCCACAAAACTCACCTTGAACAACGATGGACTGCGTCATGTCCTGGGGCTGAGAGCGGCTGTCCTGACTCTGTGGTCCTGACTCTGTGGTCCTGACTCTGTGGTCCTGACTCTGTGGTCCTGACTCTGTGGTCCTGACTCTAGGGTCCTGACTCTAGGGTCCTGACTCTATGGTCCTGACTCTGTGGTCCTGACTCTAGGGTCCTGACTCTAGGGTCCTGACTCTGTGGTCCTGACTCTGTGGTCCTGACTCTGTGGTCCTGACTCTGTGGTCCTGACTCTAGGGTCCTGACTCTAGGGTCCTGACTCTATGGTCCTGACTCTGTGGTCCTGACTCTGTGGTCCTGACTCTGTGGTCCTGACTCTGTGGTCCTGACTCTGTGGTCCTGACTCTGTGGTCCTGACTCTGTGGTCCTGACTCTGTGGTCCTGACTCTGCGGTCCTGACTCTGCGGTCCTGACTCTAGGGTCCTGACTCTATGGTCCTGACTCTGTGGTCCTGACTCTAGGGTCCTGACTCTATGATAGATCCATGCTCTGTGGTCCTGACTCTATGATAGATCCATGCTCTGTGGTCCTGACTCTATGATAGATCCATGCTCTGTGGTCCTGACTCTATGATAGATCCATGCTCTGTGGTGGTAACAGACTTCCCGCCTGTAGTAGAACCATACAGTAGAGCGGCTTCTTCTGGTGGTCTGCGGCAGGTCGTGCGTCAGTCCAGCTCAATACTGCCCTCTACAGTCAACTCTTATGTTCATGATTAATTATTAGACAGAAACGTGATTAAGGGACACTTTGACAGGAGTATTCATTTCATTTAGATTGATTGAAAACGTAAGTGAGAGGTTGAACTACAGTTCCCATGATGCACCGCTGCATGAGCGCGAGCAGCGCAGGTAAACAGCAGAGAAAATACAGCGGCAGTAGACCATGGATCTATAATAATAGACAGAGTGAAGATCATCATTTGTTCACTTTTTATTGTTACTTACATATATTCTGTAATTAGCAAATGTTCGGGCAAAAACACAAAGATATGATCGTGTTTGAGTTTGTCTTAATACTTATGAACCGCAGTAAATACAAATATTAAAGATGTGCCAAAGACTATGATAGAAAGAAACAAGTTAAAGTCATTTGAATACTTTATTTATCACTTTGTAAACATGTGGTTCTCAGCTTTAGTCCAAATTAGAATCTGTGAGTGATGGCTCCATCTAGTGGCTACACTGTGTAGTTGCTCGTTAGCCCAAAAAGTCACCTACTTTTTAGTAGTTCAGCAAAAATAGTTCAGTTTAACTGAAGTAAATCTAATACATTTTCATTCTGGGTTAACTCACCAAAAGTAAAAAAGAGGTTTATTGAATAAACAGTAAAACATGAGTCTTTAGATTTGGTCACAGATGTTGCAGTAGTGCAGGTGGGACTACTGTGCGGGACACCCCCTGGGGCTCACTGCTCCTTTGACCAAAGCCACTTTACTGAAGCTCACAGCGCGTCCATCAGAGCTCAGGCCCCTCACACAGCCCTCATACGGCTGCACGGGGCCAATGCTGTTGGGCAGCAGCAGCTCTGAGTCTGCAGCAGAGATCAGTGTTAGATCAGAGTTAGACAATCTCAGGGACGTGTGTTTTACTGCAGTCTCACCTGGAGCAGCCCCCATCCACACAGGACCACTGCGGTCTGTCCTGGGACCCTGAGGTCCCACCACATGATTCACCTCCAGGTCCACGGCGAGCTGGACCACATTAGCGTTCCGGATTACTGTGAGAACCAGATGTCAGATTTTAAATACGTGATCTTTGTGCTTTGATCCAATCTAAAGAGGTCAATGATATAATAAGGGCACACAGCACAAATGGAAATATAATACTTCAGTGTATTTATCTAATCACAGTTTTTTGACTTTATTTTACTCATGCAAAATATAAAGATCAATATCTTAATAACATAGTAACACAAACTTCACACTGAGGGAATAAACCACATGTAACAGTGAGAAATGAAACTCACCTGTGATTCTGTGCCACGTTCCTGAACATAAAGGATTCTTTGGCACAACTTTGGTGAAAAACTCATTGGTCCCATCATTTACAATAACAACCACCTGGAAGTACATGGTTTATGAAAGTAGATTAATAGCCCTAATTCATAAATATAGATATGCCCTACATAACATATTGTGTTGAGTGATTGGGCAACACTTATAAAACAAATACTAAACCCATTTTCATCTTGCACAAAAGGCAATAACCGCGATCACATTATCAGCCTGTACAACGAGTCGACAAATGCACTTTTTTACAAATCTCCAAACATCGAGATTCTATGATTTAGTCAAACTGTACACATTGATATGAACGTTTAAAATGACCTCCTGTCAAAGTCATAATGTGGTCATTAAAGTCATGATGAGGCGAGAGGAGCAAAAAATGGAGAACTAGTGTTGTTTATCTCTGGAATGGATAAACGGATGAACTTAAATCATGTCATTCACTTTTCCAACTAAAAGACAAGTTAAAAGATAAAACTATAAATGTGGCCAGTTACATGAACTCAGAATGTTGATGTTTATTCAGTTGCTGTTGTTTACTTTCACTTTCACTAATGACACTTAATGATATATCGCTTCCTGTCTGAGAATCTCTGTGCTGCTCAAACTAATTGCCACAGGTGGGATTAATGAAGTGGTCTGAATGTGAATCTGAAAAAGGAAAGGAAAAATAAGCATAAACCTCAACCTACACCGTTTTTGGCCTTTATTTAAAGTTAAGGTACGTAAAGTTATAGCTCCATTTGTTCATAAATGTATAAGTGACAGAAATATACTTCTGTCATTCATTCATGCAATGTTAAAGCAGCAATATGCAATTTTAATGTCAAGACATCATTAGAGGGCCAAAATCTGTCTGTTGTTGACTAAATTCTAATCTATTCGTCTGCATATCTGGCAACCTGAGTCAGGGAGAGGCTGCAGTACCACTTTTCACCAGATTTGTACATACTGCTCCTTTAATGTAAAGCACAACTTACCGCTCCTTGGTGCAGCAATAGGGAGCAGTAGCCTTCTTCTATGCGCGTATGAAGCAGCAGCCCAGAGGCCACGGCGGGACGTATTTCCATTTGGATCTCAAACTTCGGTCCCAACTGGAAGGAGTCGTCTGTGGAGCAGCAGCAGATCCTCAAAGAACTGATGTGATTCAAAGTGTGGCTAAGATCAATGCTGCGGATGCCGTGTGAAGTGGAGCGAGACATTTTAAGATTACAGATTTGAGTTGCATCTTTACCGAAGGCAACGAGTCCTCCTCCCGCTGAAAAGAACAGGCCGTCCTCCAAAGGCCCAGAGACGCAGGGCACGACACCAAAGCTGTCTGGGGCCGGGAGCCTCTCTCTGTTCAGCTGCAGGTCCCTGAGACAGCCCTGGAAGCTGTGTCGGGAACTTGTCTGCACAGAACACAACTCATCAGCTTGATCCTCACAAAACATCCAATTTTATAACTTGAACATTCCTCTGGGACTGTGTGAGTGATATTAGCCAGACAAACAAAACGGCTAAATCTGCAGAATGGAACATTTTAACATGTGGACTCAATTACTATTGTTACTAATCAATCCATCTCTGTATTTACAGTGCCTTGCGAAAGTATTCGGCCCCCTTGAACCTTTCAACATTTCGCCACATTTCAGTCTTCAAACATAAAGATATAAAATTTAAATTTTTTGTCATGAATCAACAAGTGGGACACAATCGTGAATTGGAACGAAATTTATTGGATAATTTAAACTTTTTTAACAAATAAAAAACTGAAAAGTGGGGCGTGCAATATTATTTTTACTTTACTTTCAGTGAGTGGACAATGATCCAAAACATAAAGCCAAATCTACAATGGAATGGTTCACAAATAGACGTATCCAGGTGTTAGAATGGCCAAGTCAAAGTCCAGACCTGAATCCAATCCAGAATCTGTGGAAAGAGCTGAAGACTGCTGTTCACAAACGCTCTCCATCCAACCTCACTGAGCTCGAGCTGTTTTGCAAGGAAGAATGGGAAAGAATTCCAGTCTCTCGATGTGAAAAGCTGATAGAGACAAACCCCAAGCGACTTGTTGCTGTAATTGCAGCAAAAGGTGGCGCTACAAAGTATTAGCGCAAGGGGGCCGAATAATATTGCACGCCCCACTTTTCAGTTATTTGTTAAAAAAGTTTAAATTATCCAATCAATTTCGTTCCACTTCACGATTGTGCCCCACTTGTTGTTGAATCTTGACAACAATTGTAATTTTTATATCTTTATGTTTGAAGCCTGAAATGTGGCGAAATGTTGAAAGGTTCAAGGGGGCCGAATACTTTCGCAAGGCACTGTAGATAAATACAGAGATGGATTGATTAGTAACAATAGTAATTGAGTCCACATGTTAAAATGTTCCATTCCTCAGATTTAGCCGTTTTAGCCGTCCATCCATTTTCTTCCGCTTTATCCGTTGCCGGGTCGCGGGGGCAGCAGTCTAAGCAGAGACGCCCAGACTTCCCTATCCACACACACTTCCTCCAGCTCGTCCGGGGGGACCCCAAGGCGTTCCCAGGCCAGCTGAGAGACATAGTCTCTCCAGCGTGTCCTGGGTCTTCCGCGGGGCCTCCTCCCGGTGGGGCGTGCCCGGAACACCTCCCCAGGGAGGCGTCCAGGAGGCATCCGGAACAGATGCCCGAGCCACCTCAACTGGTTCCTCTCGACGTGGAGAAGCAGCGGTTCTACTCCGAGCTCCTCCCGTGTGACTGAGCTCCTCACCCTATCTCTAAGGGAGCGCCCAGCCACTCTGCGGAGGAAGCTCATTTTGACCGCTTGTATCCGCGATCTCGTTCTTTCGGTCATTACCCAAAGCTCATGACCATAGGTGAGGGAGGGAACAAAGATTGACCGGTAAATCGAGAGCTTTGCCTTTCGGCTCAGCTCCCTCTTTACCACAACGGTCCGATACAGCGACCGCATAACTGCGCACGCTGCACCGATCCGCCTGTCAATCTCACGCTCCATTCTTCCCTCACTCGTGAACAAGACCCCGAGATACTTGAACTCCTCCACTTGAGGAAGGACCTCTCCACCCACCTGCAGAGGGCAAGGCACCTTTTTCCGGTCGAGCACCATGGCCTCGGATTTGGAGGTGCTGATTCTCATCCCAGCCGCTTCGCACTCGGCTGCAAACCGTCCCAGTGCATGCTGCAGGTCCTGGTTCGTTGGAGCCAACAGGACAACATCGTCCGCAAACAGCAGAGATGAAATCCTGTGGTCTCCGAATCGGACCCCCTCCGACCCCTGGCTGCGCCAAGATATTCTGTCCATAAATACAGTGAACAGAACCGGTGACAAAGGGCAGCCCTGTCGGAGGCCAACATTCACCGGGAACAGGTCTGACTTACTGCCGGCAATGCGAACACAGCTCTGGCTTCGGTCATACAGGGATCGGATGGCCCTCAGCAGAGGACCTCCGACCCCGTACTCCCGGAGAACCCCCCAAAGGACACCCCGGGGAACACAGTCGAACGCCTTCTCCAAATCCACAAAGCACATGTGGACAGGTTGGGCGAACTCCCATGAACCCTCGAGTATCCGATGGAGAGTATAGGAGCTGGTCCAGTGTTCCGCGACCGGGACGAAAACCACACTGCTCCTCCTGGATCCGAGATTCGACCATCGGCCGTAACCTCCTCTCCAGTACCTTGGAGTAGACCTTACCGGGGAGGCTGAGGAGTGTGATCCCACGATAATTGGAACACACCCTCCGGTCCCCCTTCTTGTAGAGAGGGACCACCACCCCGGTCTGCCACTCCATTGGCACTGCCCCCGATCGCCACGCGATGTTGCAGAGACGTGTCAGCCAAGACAGTCCTACAACATCCAGAGACTTTAGATAATCAGGGCGGATCTCATCCACACCCGGAGCCTTGCCACCATGGAGGCTACCAACCACCTTGGTGACCTCAGCCAGGGAGATGGATGTACCCGCCCCAACATCCTCAGCCTCTGCCTCTGTAACAGAGGACGTGACGGGGGGATTGAGGAGAACCTCAAAGTATTCCTTCCACCGCCCGACAATATCCCCAGTCGAGGTCAGCAGCTCTCCACCCGCACCGTTAACTGTATAAATCTATCTATTTATATAAATCTGTATAAATCTGTATAAATCTATAAAAACTGTATAAATCTATCTATTTATCAATGTATGCACAGTATGTACAGTATGTCTCTATCTTTCTCTCTATCTCATATTTTCTGCCCTTCTACTTCCCCAATCCATTGTGAAGAGAAGCTCCTACCGGCACATTTCTATGAGCTTTCCCAGGAGGCACTCCTCCAACGTAGAGCGGTCCGTGAAACTGCAGTGAACCATTTGTGTTTATGTTCTTCTGCAGTGAGACTGCGTCAATGGTCAGACGTTCCAGGTCTCCATCACCCGTTAGAACCACCTAAAGAGAAAAGGGTCAAAAGTAATTCATAGGAGCACTGGGTGTGACACCAGCTAAACCTTCTGAGCCCTCAGGGACTGAGCCTTTGCTGCAGCTGCCCCCACTCTCTGGACCTCACAACACAATATGAACTCTTTAAAACTTCAAATCACTGCTCTAATTCTACCTGTTCAAAACTGCCTTCATTATTTATTTATTTTGTTATTAGTTATTCTCTTTTTCTTTCAGTAAAGCGTCTTTGAGTGTCAATAAATATATATGTATTATATATATGATAGGAATCAGACTCATGCAAATTGGGATCTTTGTACGACAAAGCCTCCTGGCTGGTTTATTCACAAAATGGTCGTTAATTTTCAGGCAGAACAAAAGACACAGATACATTATATATGGAAATCTACGTCATCATAGAAAAGGCCAAACCTTCGGCACAAATAGCCTAAACAACGAAAGTCTCTGTGGTCCTTGAGACCTCCACAAGGCCAGGTTATTAATACTATTTTGTCTTGCATTTGTCCACCTGTGCAGTACATAGGTCACTGTTTACCACATATACATGTATATGTATTATTACTATTATCATTATGGAAACACCAGATGGACTTACACTGTGCCACCTCCCGTCATTGTACTTGTCCTGGCTGCGGATCGTCACTGGCTCCTCTCCAGCGCTGAAGGTAAGCTGCAGTCTCCCTTGAGCCAAATATAGAGCCATGAAGGAGCTCTCTTCCTTGTCACACATGTACATCATCAAACCAGAGGCGGAAACCGTCTTTACCGACAGAGACAGGTGCCATCTATGTGTACAAAGAAACTGCATTCATCACACTTCAAAAGACTTGGATAATGTTGGTTTTCCTTGGAAGTTATAAGTTACAAGGAACTGGCAACAGACACAAATAATGTACCGGTGGGAAAAGGCATGTCGTGGCAATGGATACTCATGCCTGCTGTGCCTGAAGCCCCCATGGTGGAAGGTATTCTGTGGGGCTATGGAGCTGATGGGTTCAGAGCAAGAACTATCTGCATCTGCGTTAGGATCATCGCTGTTGTGCTCCTCTGGGACAAGCACCTATCACACAGAGAAGTCAAGAAGCCATCGTGGTTACAACATTCAAACCAATCATTCAGTAGATAACGAACGTACTTTCTTTGAGTGTTCTCCTCTCGTTTTCCTGGTTTCTTTGGACTGTAGAGCGGATGGAGGACGCCTGACCGGACACTCCTGCAGAGAGACCTTCACCTTCTCTGGGTACCTCTGAAAATCTTCTGGCTCAATGTCTCGCTCTTGTCTGCGAACATGTCGTCACACACACACACACACAGATGATCACCGCAACAGCCTTCAGGAAGTACACATGGGTCGGTTACCTGCTGATGTAGGCGTAACTGATGCAGCCAGTGAAGTTCTTCTGGCTGCTGTGAGGGGAGCCTCCAAAGTAAAAGGTCTTTAGTGTAGAGTCTGAAGTTGCAGACGCAGAGGCAGGACGCTTCTTCTCTTGTTTATCTTTGTCATCGACCATCAGTGTATACCTAACAGACAACTAAGTAAGTAATGTTTATTTATATAGCGCATTTTACAGACCAAGGTCACCCAAAGCGCTTTACAATGTTCGGAGTTCAGATATTGTTCCAATCATTTCACACACAGTGATGACAGAAGCGAGTCGCCGAACACACTGGACCATCAACTCCAATCAACACCATCCATTCACTCTCTCATTTACATTCAGACCTATTGTGCATGTTTTTAGAGGTAGGGCAAACCGGAGCACCCTGCAAACACAGGCAGAACATGCAAACTCCACTCAGAAACGCCCTATTCTGATCAGGATTTGAACCCAGAACCTTCTTGCTGAGAAGCGAGATTGCTGTCCACTCAGCCACCGTGCTGCCCAAAGTTATATCATGGTATTGCAATAGCATTGAACCTAAATCCAGACTGGAATAATGAAAATACTTGCTTTTGATTGCTAATTGATGCAACTAAGAAATGTGTCCTTCCATCGCCGTACTGCTTCTTGTGAGACTTGACCTTGGTGCCTCTGTTATTAAGCACCACACCTCCGTTCTCCAAAGTAATACTGAACTCATCCGCCTGGGAAGACACAAGAATAGAGTAAAGTGAACGATGTCAGAGAGTAACAGTGTCCTGGTTCTCTGGATACTGACCCCATCACGGTGGTAGAAGAGCAGGCCACCGGGCTGCACTGTCCGGAAGTTCAACCCTCCTTCAAAACTATCAAATGGACTGGTCTTTGCTGTGGATCCCAAGTAGCTTTCACCGTTAAAGTAGGCTTTTCGTGACATCTGTTAGTTAGAGAAGAAAATCATTGATGGGTTCATATTCCACGACATATCACAAAGGTTTAAATCACGACAATCAACAACATTTATGGACTTTTTCAACATTTATAGACATTGGTCATCTGCCCCTTATGGACCAAGGGCTCTATGGGTTTTTGATCAGTCCATTGCTTGTGTTTGAACTGTTTAATTCTCTGATCTGTGATGGTGAATTCAATGGTTTGATCCGAGATGATACTACTGTTGTGAATCAGGGATGTACAAAATCCTCAGTGAGACTCAGGATGAACTTACAAAGGACTCCTCAGGACAGACTTACAAAGGACTCCTCAGGACAGACTTACAAAGGACTCCTCAGGACAGACTTACAAAGGACTCCTCAGGACAGACTTACAAAGGACTCCTCAGGACAGACTTACAAAGGACTCCTCAGGACAGACTTACAAAGGACTCCTCAGGACAGACTTACAAAGGACTCCTCAGGACAGACTTACAAAGGACTCCTCAGGACACCCGCTGCTGATGCCAATAGTCCCTGGCTCCTCCAAGAGATTGAAATCCTTCTTTTGGAACTGGAATCCCTTCACGCAGCCTTTGAGTCCCACTATTGTCGCCAGCTCAGGCCTGTATAGACATATTCATCATCTTATGCTTATACATCGAGCTTTTGCATTTTTGCTCCTGTCGTGGCAACCTCTCACCTTGCTTTGAGAATGTTGGATGGAACACCTCCGATATAAACATTGGAGAAAGGTAACGTGGTTTTGGGATTTTCAATCGACTTAACGTGGCCTTTATCTACAAGAAGAATAACCTTCTTTGACTGATGGTATATCACAGACACCTGAAACAGAAACAGATGAATTACTACATGCTTTTTTGATTAAAACTTTGAGAATACTGTTCAAATCTTTACCTCGTGATATTTTGCGTCATTTATTTGCAACACAGGGAGTTTTTCTTCAAAACTTTTCGGTCCTCCAGTGAAGCCAAAATCATACATTAGACGCAAGTAGCCATTTTTCAATTCCAGAAGGAAAAAATTAAGCTGAGAAGATTTGTAGTTACTAAACAATCATTCATAATTGCATAAATACATACATAGGTTTTTGTTGTTGTCGAAAAGTTCTTACCCCATTGACCATGAGGAGCAGCACCCCATCGTTCGCAACAGTCCTCACAGAAATATCAAATCTGGTAACGACTCCGAACTTTCCTCTCCTCTCGATGTTGTTAATGAGAGCGTAACCCGTGCCATCAAACAGATAACTGGCGACCCGACTCTGAGAGAAGGCCAGTTTATATCTGAAAAGAAGTATACCGTGAGAGGCAGTTATGTGCATATGTCATAATAAAGAAGTTGGGCCTGAACCAGAACTTACCTGGGACAAGGTGCCGAGGTGACCACATCCATCTGGTGAGTCTCCTTAAAGTTATATAGACTAATGACGTCATTGTTTATGGATTCCAACTCAATGCATCCAACAAATGGAGCCAGGCTCAGAGGTGGAGGCAGCTGGGGGGGCAGAACGTGGAAACACCTTGTCAATGGTAAATGCTAATTTAAAAATACAGAGAAATCGGTTGTAAAAGTACAAAATAGAGATTAACTATTTACAAAGTTCTAATAGGAAATGTAAAGGTGTTTTCTCTCAAATTGGTCTGAACTGAGATTGTTTTGAATATTTCTGTTGATGTAAAACTAGGGATATTTTGACCAACACCAAAATAGTGGTGCTTGAAAAGTTGAAAAACCAAATTATACACACTGTAACTTTTCTTTTGGGTCTTTCTGAAGCTTTTCTCACCTTGACATCTGCCGGGACCCCGCCCACATAGAAAACAATGTTGTCTGGATCAATATCGAAGAGAGAGTCTGTCCCTGGAGCTTGGCCTTTCTGGATGAACTTCTGCTCGTCTGAAGAGCTCTGACTGGGGATGGTCAGGAACACTTTCCCGTGTCGTCCGAGTCTGTACGAAGCAGTCATGACAGAATTCTATCAGAGAGACAGTGAACTCTATCCCACCTCTGTCCTCAGTTCCAAGACCACACTGCAGCCCAGGTCTAGCTCCAGTCTGTACTTTTCTCCCACTGGTTTTAGAGTTTTTCCTTGTTGATGCAGAAAGGTCTAAGGACTGTGGTGTTGATCCAAGACACTCCACATTCAATAACATTTATGGACAGTGGTCTCTGACTCTATGTGATGTTTCTCATTTCATTTCCTGTGTTTGAACTGTTTAATTCTAAAGTAAGATCTGTTTGCAAATTGACCAAACTTTATAAAGTAAAGATTAATACTGTTGTGATTCAGGGATATATCAAAAAAACAAAATATGGAATTGAATTGCTGTTTTGCCAGACTTGATTGCCAGACAGATTTCAGGCTCTCTTGAGAACTCTGTATCTGAGATTAGTTTGTTGCAGCAATAACTCAGAGAACTCTTTAGAGATGGAGCTGGTGAACCGGGTCTTGTGCTGCTGGTCCCAGTCACTTTTCATGTGTTCAATATTCTTTTTGTGTCTGAACTGTTGATTCTCTGATTTGTGTTGGTGATTTCAATGGTTTTGTTAAGTCTCTGAGATGATACTGTTGTTCTGTCATTTGTGAGCTTGTCTGTATTTTTGTTATTATCCTTTGGTGTCCGTCTGTGTTTCTTGTTCTAGTGTGGACCTTGAGTCTGAATGAAGAAATAATGATAATGATGACGATTGCCCACCTTTCCACTTTGACGTAGTTGAAGACCGCGGGCCACTGGCTGACAGGTTTTGAGCCTAATGGGATCTCCACGTCTTCACCACCGAGATTGTAAACGTACACCAGGTTGTCGTTCTTTATGGCGAGGCCCATGTAGTCTTTCTTTCCCTGTGAGAAAGAGAAATGATACAGAAGTTTCACTGAGAACCACACCAAACAGAGAGAAATCTGTTTATGGAACTGTAATCTAGATTCACATTCCGGTCCCCGAGGTAGAGTATGAAGCGGTCTTCTATGGGGTCTTTGTCGGGGTCCACTCTGATGAAGAGGCTGATGGAGGTGACCGTTTTGAGGTCTTCGAGATTGGTGTGTGGATGGACCTCTACTGCGGACTGCCCGTTGAACTTCATGGAGACTCGAACCTGTAGACCACAACGTGAAATACCAAATTGGATGATGGCTGTAGATCAGGGGGGTCAAACTGAGGCGGTGTAGCTGCAGGTTTTCACTCCAACCAAGCAGGAGCACACCAGACTCCACCCATTTAGAAGTACATTTATTTCTTCAGTCATCATAAAGAGCTTTAGGTCACATTTATTATGTTTTAGGGTGTATTCAGACCTGAAAAGTCCTTTGCTCCGCTTGCTTGATCCGAATCAAAAGCAGACCAAACTTTTTTCTTTTGCTCCGGTTCGTATTCAGACTGTCCTTTTTGCAAGTGAACTTTTTTATATAAACATATTGACACGTGTGACGATCGGCTCCTATTGGACAGAGAGAGCTCACGGAGGATAGACGCGGAACCGGCAGAAAACATTGAGATCGTATGTGCAGCATGTCTGCTCTGTCTATGTTTGCTCTTTTTAGAGCAAAACCACCTTCAACATCAACAGCAGCTCATATGACACAGGCCAAACACGTTGTTTTAAATATTGGAACAGCGTCAGAGAATGCGTGAGGAGAAAGCTGAAGGAGACTGTCTGTGCGCTCCGTGTCCTGTCCCACACATGGATCTATTATAATAACCCTGTTCCACAACTTACTGACAGCAGCATTGTGGATAAACCATGGATCTATAATAACCACGGGACAAACAGACGCTGAGGATCAGGTAGGAACCAAAGAACACAATTCACTACATGATGCGGGATATTTATTTTTGAGACGTGAGTCAAACAGTGTCAGGTTTTTAATAATGCAAAGTATTTGAAGATGCTGCCATTAACATCCCTGTAAACTGTGAACAGTTGTAACCCCATAAGCCTGTTGCACAGCGTCTCCTCACTGCTCCAGGTCTGCACACGGCTCAGTGTTGTTGTGTAGCGTTAGCAGCATAGTTAGCAGCATAGTTAGCCGCTGCGTGGCTAATTCCTCAGTTTCTGTGTGCGGTGGCTTGTTAAGCCCAAAAAATGCGCACGTATCTTGGAGTTGTGTCGGATCGACACCGGATGTATTCAGACCTGATTCGGTTTGGACCAGAATTCGTTTGGAAGCGGACCGAGACCACCTAAAAAAGTGGGTCTCGGTTCGGTTCTTTGGTCCGGACCTGGATTAGTTTGTGTGTATTCAGACCTGCATAAAAGCTTCGGATCAGAGTTCCAAACGAATCCTGGTCCGTTTAAAGTGGAGCAAATGTGCAGGTCTGAATACACCCTTATTGTTTTAAACTGGAACTGGTCTTTTTCATAGCTTTTTTTACATAACGTTTTACTCATACTATTTTTTCTCAAAATATAAAGCTGCAAACCTGTATTTTAAATGTGTTACTTTTATCTCTTTGGAAACTATACAAATAAAGTGGATTGGATTATATATTTTACAATAAGTGTATATTTGAGTGGAAAAAACATTGGATCAAGTGAGTCCAGTCTAAACTTGAGGACATGAGGATATGGGCGGAGTCTGCTGTGCTCCTGCTTGGTTGGAATGAAAACCTGAGCCAGACCTGTCTAACAAACTGGTCTGACACCCCTGCTGTAGATGAGTGACTTAACAGATAACAAAAAAAACAGACCTTTTTGGCAACACTCCGGGCCTGAGCGATGAGTTCCCGGATCCTCAGGATGTTGGTGGTGACATTGTTCACGGGTCGTTTCTGTTCCACGACTCGAAGTTTGTCCAGAAGCTCAGGCACGAGAACGTTCAGATTCTCCACTGCCACAAAACACATTTGTTTCAGAGAGCATCACAGCGTCCCATAGATACAGTCTTATATGAGATCCACATGTAATAATAATGTTAATACTACATCGATCCACTCTCTATGGGCACTCAAAGACACTTTAGTTAACCCTTCAGGTGCCAAAGTTCCAAAATCCAGGACACTTTATAGAGAGGGACTAGACTCTCTACCTACATTTTGTATATATGTTCTTCTACGTGTTAAGTTATGGAAACTGAAACTAGAGAGTAGAATTCTCATAGATCACATCGATCGATCCGCCGCCATTGTTGTTTACGTTCTACTGTGTCCAAATGTACGTACTCTGGAGGCTGTTTCTTTATGTTTTCTCCTGAAACGCCGTCTCCATGGAAACGAAAGGTGGAACTGATACCCAACTCTACCGTTTTACTGTCGCAGCGTTTCTGTGTAAACACCACCTCCGTCTGGTAGTCTCCCTACTGCAGCCAATCAAAGCCGGCCCCTTTTACCCTCGGCCAATCATAGCGCTGCCAATCTATACCAATTAAGCAGCTGTTTGAAACCAGAAACTTCCTCACATCTAACCCTTTCTCAAGCCTGAGCAGAGAGGATTCATGGTTCGAACCAAGCTGGTCTTATAACCCCACCAGAACCTACGTTTTATACCACCCCCAGTACCTAGGTCTTATACCACCACCAGTACCTAGGTCTTATACCACCACCAGTACCTAGGTCTTATACCACCCCCAGTACCTAGGTCTTATACCACCCCCAGTACCTAGGTCTTATACCACCCCCAGTACCTAGGTCTTATACCACCAGTACCTAGGTCTTATACCACCAGTACCTAGGTCTTATACCACCAGTACCTAGGTCTTATGCCACCAGTACCTAGGTAATTCATTAAATGCGTCTGTGTCTGTGTAGTCTCTCCAGATTGAAATGCATTGTATGTTCTCCCCTTTGTCGTACCTGCTTCTCCTGCAGAGTCCACGGCACTTTCATAGTCCTCTGTAGAATAATGCTTCTTCTTCATGTTGTTGGCCCACTGTTCCACCTTGCTGCTGATGGGACTTATGGTCTGGAGGACTTCCTGGGAGCGACTCAGAGTCCCCTCAGCGACGTTCAGAGTGAAGTTCAGGCGCTGGGGTGTTCGGTCTGCTCAGAAACACACTTTTACCCAGCCGTTTACTTTTGTTGGCTCAAAGTGAACTCCATTGCATTTTCTCACCAGTGTGGATTTGACTAATATCCTCTTGTATGTCTTGTAGCTTCTTGCTGTTCTTGTCCATGGTGTCTCTGGTCTCCTTGATGTAGTTTAACTTGTCTACCACCTCTGTTTCCACCTCTGCGAAGACAAAATGTTACTTAAAAAATGCGTTGTACAACTTTTTATGTGATATAAGTGGATATTTTTGTGTATTTGACCTTGTAGCTGTAAGACTGGGCAGCTCGGTGCCTAAACAGTGTCTACAGTGCTCCAATTGGTTCATGGGTTTTAAGCTGCAGGAGTCCCAGAGCAGAGAAAACCGTCCGAACTATTGATCCTAGAGCGACTACTGCACCAAGCTGGTTCCCTCTCAGGTCATATATGCAAAAATATGAACTTTTTGGTCATTCAGTATAATAATGAGACTATTTACTTTGTCATGTACTGTTTTAAAATGTGTAATTATATTTCAAGTAAAAAATGTATTGTGAAACCTATCAACCTGCTCCATCCTTATGCTTCCACTAGAGGGAGTAGAATTTGTCTTATCTTTTTTCAAATTAGAAAATTATTATGTGATTCATTTCATCTGAGAAATTACCAAAATAAATGTAGGGCCAACACTTAAGTTTTAAAAACAGGAAAAGTTCTCTGAGTGTGACGTCATAGTGGTACAATGACATCATACTAGCACAGGGACTTTTAGACAGAAGGGGCGGAGTTATGTGTTTGTGGTATTAGCATGGATGGATCTAAAAACTCCAGATCTGTTAGTGATAAAGGAACCATACTATAACTTAATACTATTGCTACAACATCATCAGTTTAGTAATGGTCTAACAGGTCAAAAAAGCCAATTTCCACTAGGGGAGGGCAAACAAAATGTATTCAAACAGTTTGGTAGAGCACTTTAGAATGTTCTGGAAAACTGCAGCGAGTCCTAAGTGTCTCTGAAACTGTTGTTTTGTGTTTTACAATTGTTATTTACGGGGATAATTAAAATACCAATCTATCTTTAACTCTGACTCTCTCCGGTCTCTCTCACCACTTTGCTCCGAGTGCAACGACACTGATTCCTTAAAAACGTTGTCGCTCTGAGTGACGAGGGGGCTCAGCCGGGTCCCGATGGCGCTGACGTCCTGGAGAACAAAGTAGGACAAACTTGAACACTTTCTGATCATAAACTGGACTCTGGGTCAAACATACTTGCTGTGATTTCTGCGACAGGTTGAAGGTGGTGCGGGACGTGATGTTGGCGTCGTGGATGTACTTTATGATGTTGTTGTACACGTTGGCAGCACTTATGGCTCGCTGGACAAATCCGTTTGCATCGCTCTGCCGCAGGTCCCTGTTGTAACAGTCAAATTAGTAAGTAATTAAGTAAGTAATGTTTATCTATATAGCGCATTTTACAGATCAAGGTCACCCAAAGCGCTTTATAAATGTTCAGAGTTCAGATATTTTTACATTCATTCACGGTGATGACGGAAGCGAGTCGCCGAACACACTGGTCCATCTAAGCCTCCGACCAAACACCATTCACTCACTTACTTATTCATTACATTCAGAACTATTGTGCATGTTTTTAGTGGTAGAGGAAACTGGAGTACACGGAGAAAACCTTCACAGACACAGGAAACATACATGCAAACTCCACTCAGCAAAGGCCCTGTTCTGACCGGGATTCAAACCCAGGACCTTCTTTCTGAGAAGCGAGAGTGCTTACCAATGAGCTTTGATATCTCCTGCTCCATCTCTGCTGCTGTGACCTGAAGGACTGTTGCTGATTACTACTATTGTTAGCTTTCTAGAATGATCTATTTGATATTTTCATTATTGCTGCTACTGGACACCTGCATTTCTCCAACAGGGATCAATAAAGTATCTGTCTGTCTGTTTATCTATACATCTGTCTACATCTAATATTGCATGATGCGTGTCTGCGTGTCTCACTCCTCCAGAGAGATGGCGAGAGCGTCCATCTTGTCGGCGTGTTCGTCAGCTCTCAGCACCAGCTCCGTGTCCACCTGCGACAGACGCTCGGACTTATCCTGAAGCTTCTGTCCTGCTCCATCGATGGCTGCGTGGTACTGGGTCATGTTCTGCTCGAACACAGTAATACAGAACATAATGGTCATCGTTAAAGGGCCCTAATCTGTCATCGTTAAAGGGCCCTAATCTGTCATCGTTAAAGGGCCCTAATCTGTCATCGTTAAAGGGCCCTAATCTGTCATCATTAAAGGGCCCTAATCTGTCATCGTTAAAGGGCCCTAATCTGTCATCATTAAAGGGCCCTAATCTGTCATCGTTAAAGGGCCCTAATCTGTCATCGTTAAAGGGCCCTAATCTGTCATCATTAAAGGGCCCTAATCTGTCATAGAGTTTCGTTCGGGCCTGAGAAATGAAGCCCGACCCGGCCCGAGCCCGCTAATGTTAAGCCCGAGCCCGTATAAGCCCGACCAATGAACGCTGTATAACAGGCCCGAGCCCGACAGAACCCGACACATCTGATTTCCCGTTGTACGCACTCACCTCCAATTGCAAGTTTAGTCTCCACTTTTGAATTTGTTTTGTCTCCACTTGATCCATTTCTACTATTGTTCCTGTTCGCTGTTGACCACAGCAGCAGGAGACACGGGGATGATGCGTTCACGGCCTGCTGCTGCTGTAGGACACGCTGGTTACAGTGTCATTAATATATTAACTATTTTTAATAACTTGTTGTCAATCAACGGACATTGTTATTAATATATATATATATATGCATATCATTATGTATAAAAATCATTTAAAAATAATTATAATAATAATAAAAAAGAAACATATATTTAAAAAAAGAAGCCCGAGCCCGGCACGAACCCGACAGCTGAGCGCCAAATGAGGCCCAAGCCCGGCCCGAACTCAGGTCGGGCCTCGGGCCTGCTCGGGCTCGGGCTGAAAAGCGAAACTCTAATCTGTCATTGTTAAAGAGCCCGAATCTGTCATCATTAAAAGGCGTTAATCAGTCATCATTAAAGGGCCCTAATCTGTCATCATTAAAAGGCTTTAATCAGTCATCATTAAAGGGCCCTAATCTGTCATCATTAAAAGGCTTTAATCAGTCATCATTAAAGGGCCCTAATCTGTCATCATTAAAGGGCCCTACTCTGTCAAAAGGCATTAATAAAACATCTTTAATTGATAACAGTAGTTCAGAGATATTTGAATTTCTAAATTACTTTTCCAGCCTCTAAATCTTGTTATTGTTTTCATTTCGATGTCCCGCCCTCCACCGTTTCACCAATCAGAAAGTCTGTAATCCGGGCACCAGAACTTTCAATCAATCAATCAAAGTTTATTTGTAGAGCGCCTTTCATACACATGGCAACACAAAGCGCTTCACAGTCCACATCACAAATCATCACATAAAACAAACACCAGAATCACAATTAAAACATTAAAATCACACAAAAGATTAAAACACAATTAAAACATTAAAATCACACAAAAGAATAAAACCATTAAAACTTTCAAAATTACACAAGAAATTTAAATAAATAAGTAAATGACAGCAGTGCATTAAAAATGGAGATAAAATCCTTCAGTTGTATGCACAGGCAAACAGAACAGTCTTTAACCTGGATTTGAACATTGACAGAGTAGACGCCTCCCTCACATTTTCAGGGAGATTGTTCCAGATCTTAGCTGCATGGATCTGAAACGCAGCCTCCCCATGTTTGGTTCTCACTCTGGGCACCAGCAGGAGGCCAGTCCCTGTGCTCCTCAGAGTCCGGGCTGGTTCATATGACACCAACATGTCACTAATGTATTCTGGTGCAAGGCCATGGAGAGACTTGTACACAAGCAGAGCTGTTTTAAAATCTATTCTTTGAGCCACAGGAAGCCAGTGCAGAGACCTGAGGACCGGACTAATATGGTCATACTTCCTGGTTCCTGTCAGGACTCTAGCTGCTGCATTTTGGATGTACTGCAGCTGCTTACAGGTCTGTTTGGACAGACCTGTAAGCAGGCCATTGCAGTAGTCTAGCCTGCTGGAGACAAATGCATGGACAAGAATCTCCAAGTCTGCCCTGGACACTATATTTCTAACTTTGGCAATGTTCTTCAGATGGTAAAAAGCTGTTGATGTTATTGATTTTATGTGGCTATTGAAATTTAGGTCTGAGTCCAGTATTACCCCCAAATTTCTGACCTTGTCTGAAGGAAGTAGGGAGAGAGACTGAAGTTGACAAATGACGCCCTCTCTTTGTTTCTGGGGACCAAAGACAATGATTTCGGTTTTGTCTGTATTTAGCTGGAGGAAATTATTTTGCATCCAGTCACTGATCTGTTGGATACAGTGAAGGAGCAAATCCAGTGGTCCATGTTCTCCTGCAGTCAGTGAGACATAGATCTGAGTGTCGTCAGCGTAATTGTGGTAGGACACTTTGTTTCTTTGTATTAACTGACCTAACGGCAGCATGTAGAGATTAAATAGGAGAGGTCCCAGGATCGACCCCTGTGGTACACCACAGGTCAGGGCCACATCATCTGAGACGCAGTCTCCAATCTCCACAGAGTACTTCCTATCCTCCAGGTAAGACCTAAACCAGTCTAGGGCTGTGCCAGTGACACCAGCCCAGTCCTCCAGTCTCTGCATGAGGATCTCATGGTCGACAGTGTCGAACGCGGCACTAAGATCTAACATGACCAAAACTGTGACTTTACCTGCATCAGTGTGAAGTCGAATGTCGTTTGTTACCTTCACTAGAGCGGTCTCAGTGCTGTGGTGGGGTCTAAACCCAGACTGGAACATATCAAAAGAATTATTCATTGTTAAAAATTCAGTAAGTTGTTGGGAGGCCACTTTTTCAAGAATTTTTCCAATAAATGGCAGATTCGATATGGGGCGATAATTTTGAAGTCCCGCAGGATCCAGACTGCTCTTTTTTAGGAGAGGTCTTATGACTGCTGTTTTTAGGGCCATAGGAAATGTTCCTGACGACAGAGACATGTTTACTATTTGTGTCAGTGAAGGTAACAAACTGCTCAGGACGGACTTCAGAAATTTAGAGGGCAATATATCCAGGCTACATGTGGAGGAGCTCAGACTCATGATTATCTTTTTGACAGTTTCAGTATCCACAGGTGCAAAGTGAGTTAGCTCAGAAAGCTTCTCTGGCTGTTGCATTGTTATACGTGCTGTGGAGGTGATAGTGTTTTTGATTCCTTGTACTTTGTCATCGAAAAACTGTGCGAACTCATTACACCTAGATTTAGAGGAAAATTCTAGGGGCAACTTTACAGGGGGGTTCGTTAATCTACCAACTGTTGAAAACATAACACGAAAATTGTTACTGCAACCTCCAATAATGTCAGAAAAATACATTTCTCTTGTTCTACGTAGAACCCGGTTAAATTCACCCAACTCATCTTTAAAGATTTCATAATCGCCCTGGAAATTGGACTTTCGCCACTTCCGTTCGGCCCTCCGGCACTCTTGCTTCTGTGCCCTAACCGAGTCTGCCTTAGTCCATGGGGCCTTTTTCTTACTGGTAACTATTTTAACCGTCACAGGAGCAATGGCGTCCAGAACAGTCAGAACACTGGTGGTGACAGAGTTATACAATTCATCAACAGTAGAGCATGGAGTTTTCTCAAAATTTGCATTCCCATGAACAGTTCACTTGTGTTTTCATGTATGTGTCTTCTTCTAACAGTTGTAAATTCAGCTGGTGGTTTGCTAGCAAAACACATGTCAAAAAATACACAGAAATGATCTGACAAAGCAACATCAACTACATTAACATTTGATACATTAACCCCCTTTGTAATTAGCAGGTCAAGAGTGTGCCCCCTGCTGTGGGTGGGGCCACTCACGTGCTGAATGAAACCAAAGGTCTCAAATACAGAAGCCAGCTCCTTTGCATTTCTGTCATCAACATTATCAACATGTACATTAAAATCACCTGTAATAACTAAACTATCAAAATCTGTGCACACGAATGAAAGTAGTTCAGTAAAATGGTCAATAAAATCGCAACATGACTGTGGTGGCCTGTACAGGACAATGAAAAGAGTAGAAGATTGCTTTTGTTCCATTTTAAAAGAAATATACTCAAACGATGAAAAATTTCCAAGGGGCATTCTATGGGAGACAAAGTGCTCTCTAAAAACTGCAGCTATGCCTCCCCCCCTTTTGTTTTCTCGTATTTCGGATTCGAATTTAAAATTGGGTGGTGTTGCTTCTATTAGAACTGCATTTCCTGTATTTTGGTCCAGCCATGTTTCAGCCATAAGCATAAAATCAAGATCATAAGAAGTGATAAAATTATTAATTAAAAATGATTTGTTACATAGAGATCTGACATTAAGCATAGCAAGTTTAAAAATAACGTCAGAGTCGATTAATGTGGTTGATTGATTTCTACAGGGAACAGAAATTAGATTTGCAGAGTTGGACCGTCTAACTGCTGTCCTGTTTTGATTTCGTTTTTTAGAATTTAAAAACATTTTTGAGCTGGTGCGAGGAACACACACAGTCTCAATTGGCCTAAAATGTGAAAACCCTTGTTGTTCTTTAGCTCCCAGAGTCAGAAGGGAGTCAGCACAGTTCAGTGTTTGGACTGGTAATGCACTGCCAGACGGACTTTACCAGTGAGCTAATCTCACTGGTAAAGTACCATGTGGAGCTAATCTCACTGGTAAAGTACCATGTGGCACAGAACTAAAAAAGGTCTCGTTATGATTCTCAAATCATTAACGACAGAACAAGGAATAAAACCAGGATTTCTATCTTTGTGAAAAAGGTGTTGGTTATAGATTTGTTGTTGACTAAACTCTTGTCTATTCAGCTGTTATGGTCCCAGCTGGATTCGTCTGCATATCTGGCAACCTGAGTCAAGGAGAGTGGGAGAGGCTGCAGTACCACTTTTGGCCACATGTTTACACACTGCTCCTTTAACAGAGCGAGGGATTTTATTCATACATGTGACAGTTGATCCTAGACTGAAACTAATGTTACTCATAGCATTTGGTTTGAGCAAAGTTACATAAATTCAACCTTGAAATGACATCTAATCTATAGATGAGATTAGATTCAACGTTATTGTCATTATAATTTCAAAACAATTCAACAAAATGCAGTTTGTATGTATCCAATCTCCATATAAACTCATTATTATTCATTATTATTGAAGGCGCCTTGAGGCAAGTCCCGACAGCTCTAGTTTTTCTCATATTCTCAATCCCCGCGTCTGAAGCCAACCTGAAGGTGGTGTCACACAGTGATAACAGTGTACATGACAAGGCGCTATAAGAAATGTGAATTATAAATAATAAATGTATTGTACCTGCACCATGTCCTCCACTGCGTCCACTGCTCTCTCTGTGTCGGACAAATGTTGTCGAGCCTCGGCCAATGTCCCGTTCACACCGATGTGTTCTTCTGAAAGACTCCGTACTTTGGCCTGAACACAAAACCATTGTTAAAGTAGCAATATGTAAGATTTTATGTAAAGTCATCATTAAAAGGCCCTAATCTGTCATCATTAAAGGGTCCTAATCTGTCATCATTAAAGGGCCCTAATCTGTCATCATTAAAGGGTCCTAATCAGTCATCATTAAAGGGCCCTAATCTGTCATCATTAAAAGGCTTTAATCAGTCATCATTAAAGGGCCCTAATCTGTCATCATTAAAGGGCCCTAATCTGTCATCATTAAATGGTCCTAATCTGTCATCATTAAAGGGCTCTAATCTGTCATATTTAAAGGGTCCTAATCTGTCATCTTTAAAGGGCTCTAATCAGTCATCATTAAAGGGCCCTAATCTGTCATCATTAAAGGGCCCTAATCTGTCATAATAATAAACTGCTCTTTTCCAACACTTCTTTAATTAATAACAGTCGTTCAGAGATATTTGAATTTCTAAATTACTTTTTACAGCTTTAGTTACTTAATTGTTATTTTTATTGTTATTTTGATTGGAATACTATACCACGCACTTTCCCTTGTGGATCAATAAAATCTGTCTAAATCTAAGTTTCTATTGTGTGTAAGTCTAAGTCTAAGTTTCTATGGTGTTGCAGAGTCTAGTGGGGCTCAGCAGGAAATCACCTCATTCCTCTGGTATTTGAGGAGGTTGACCCGGTTCTTGTCCTGGGTCTGCTGCAGGGTGCTGAGGGTCCTCTGCAGCAGGGTCTGGGCCTGGGACAGCTGGGTGGAGAGGCTGGACAGCTGCTCCCGAATGGGGGACAGGCGGCTGTCAGTGGTCCCCAACTTCTTCTCCAGCTGTCGGACTCGCCGCAGCACTGTGGGGATGGACAGGGATCAGGGGTTGGAATGACCTCCTGGGATTGTTCGACTTCTTTGGTTTGTTTGTTAAAGCGACACAGGAAAACTCTGAGACACAATGAACCATGAGCCGGAACCCAGACCCCGCTGTGAGAGACCTGTTTTGCTTCCCATTGTTCCCTATTATTTCAAGTCTTATGAAAATATGAGCCATAATGAGCAGAGAGTGACCACCCACTTGGTCCTCTTTGGTCTCAGTGGCTCTTGGCAAAACTAGGCCACATTATTATTATTATTATAATAACTCATTTGATCAAACTTTACCCAGGACAGACCAAACATCCTCTGATCGCTGACTTTGTCCCAATGACCTCAGGGCGTCCTTTTAATGCCCAAGCTCAGAAAACAAATCCTTTCTCAAATTCTTTTGTGCATCTGCCACAAAACTGTAGATCTCTGTGAAGATGTTTGACATCTGTGATATTTTTATTGTACTGTTTTAACGTATAATATATATTTTGAACTTGCTACTGCTGCTGCTGCTGCTGCTGCTGCTGCTGCTGCTGCTGCTGCTGCTGCTGAACAGTGGTGAGGCCCAGGGCTGGACTGGCCATCGGGCGTACCGGGCAATGCCCGAAGGGCCGATGCCCATATTTGGGCCGGTCTGTCTGCCTCATACAAAAAAACATGTTTGTGAAAAGTGTAAATCCGTTGAGAAATGTTTGAGGGGCGCGCGTGTCCGTGGGGCACCTGCTGCATGTACTCGAACGGGATTCCACCGCCTCAGCGGCCGCAGTGTTCCCGCATCCAGCGGCTCTGAGCTGGACGCAGGAACCGCTCACAACACAACACGGCGAGCGCGTAGCCGCAACGTGACCCTGTACCCAAGACCATAAACGCGCACAGGACCATGCATGTCTTTTCGTAATTTGTGCACCCAATAAATAGACCGCTGCAGAAAACAGTCCGCGTCTCCCCTCTCCTCAAAATTAAAGCTCGGGTACCTAAATTTTCCATTGCATTAAAAGTTCATGTTTGAGCCCAAAAGTAAAATGTTGTGAACAGATTAAACAGATTTAGAGCCAGCTAATGACTGACAATATGCATTTCAGAAATGTTTACCAATTCTCATCCCTGTAACAAACAATAGTATTGTCTGTGTCTCCTCCCTCACTCTGAGACATGTTTATTACTCTGTTTAATGTAGACTATTGTACTTTATTTTATTGTTGAAACTGTAGACATCCTGATCCTCTACAGTATTTGCGTCCACATACTGTATAAACCAGGGGTCGGCAACCTTTAGTGGCCCTAAAGTGGCTCCTGGAGCCTTTTCAAAAATGTCTGAAAATGGAGTGTGAGGGCTATATTTTATTTCTAGTTTCAATTTGGTTTTTGTAGGAGGAAAAACATTCTTAACGTTTTTCAATGCTGCAAAAACTTGTATAAGTAATATTAAATTTTAGCATTTCTGTACGTAGTGCGTCATATCCAGTGACGCGGCCCGTGCCAGGCGGCTGCTGCTGTAAACAAACCGGCGTGTGTGCATTATAGACTGTGTGTGCGCATGGATCCCAAAGATACAGAGAGAAAGAGTCGATAAGACTGGACTAAGAATGAGAATGAACTTTTGCTTTCAGTCAATGAGGAAGGACTGCTTCATGTTTGCGATGTAATGAAAACAATAATGAACAATGAAGCTTTAAACACCGTTCACTGAAAGATTCATTCATCATAAAGTCGGAGCACCTATTTTCAGACTTCAAATACCTTCACAGAGACGGTGAAAGAAAAGGCCATTAAGGACATTCAGCTCCAGCAAACTTCAGCCTGTGATCGATATGAACAGACAGTGATGCAGGTGAACTGAGCCAAAAAGAAGATGTATTTACTGTATTTGTACAATTTGCAAAGGCAAAAAAAGTTAAACTTAAAGCAGAGTTGTCACGTGGTGCGTCTCCAGGACACGCTGCAATGAAAATACACATTTGATAATCATGAATGGTTTTTATGTGTTTGTAGCCTTTACTTTGTCATTTAGATATTAGTCTAATATAGCTAATATAACTAATATAGCTAATGTAGCTAAGGTAGCTAATGTAGCTAATGTAGCTAATACAGCTTCAGACCCTGTTACCTTCATATAAGCCTTATACAACGCTGTTTTTTTTTTTTTTTTGTCAAATATGGCTCCTTGAACCTTTTGAGTTGCCTGGGCCGCTAAAAAGGAAAAAATGCCCGGGCCGTTTTTTTGTCCCAGTCCAGCCCTGGTGAGGCCGGACTCACTGTGTGTTTAGTCTGTGCCTTCTGTTCTGAATCTGTTGCACCTTTTTAAAAACCATTTTAAAAACATAAATTGTCTCTGACTGAACTCATTTGAGCAACAAAGTGTAGTTTAATCCAAGATGCAGTGATCGTGAAGCTGAAAGAATTCCTGTGTTGTCTTGTCAATAGTAGTCCAGTCCTACAAACGTGGAAAAGCCTCGTTATAGATCTGCACTTGGAAATCCAAATGTATTTTTTAAAGGCTGTAGTTAATTATATATTTATGAACCGCTGACAACACTGACTCTGGAGGAGGAGGCCCAAACCGTCTAATCTCTGTCAGCTCGTGATTAGTGAACAACATGAAAGAGCAGCATTCGTCTGATCAGGAAGATTCCTCTGCTTCACTCACTCTCGTGGGCCGCCGTAGACTCAAGCTTTGCCTGTGGTTCTCCAGGGGACAGGTCCAGGGCCCTCATCCAGGCCATCATCTCCTGGGCCAGGGCCGTGTTCTGTTGCACCACCTCCGGAGCCACCTCCTGCTGCACACTGTACAGCTCCCAGTCATGGATCATGTCTGGAAACACCAAAGTGACTGTCAATTCAATTCAATTTATTTTTGTATTGCCCTAAACAGTATTTATCTCAGAGGACTTGGATTCGCCAACACAGATCAGAGAATCAAATAGCTCAAACAAAATAAATACAATGGTAACAAACACATAGATCCATTGGTCCATAAGAAGCTGAGACCACTGTCCTTAGAGCCTCCTGCATCAAAAAGGAAAAAGTCCAAAAACCCCACATTGAGGGAGGGATCCACATCCGCGGATGGACAGGCTGTAGATCCAGGACTGAGGCTGTAGATCCAGGACTCAGACTGTAGAACGAGGACTGAGGCTGTGGATCCAGGACTGAGGCTGTAGAACCAGGACTGAGGCTGTGGATCCAGGACTCAGACTGTAGAACGAGGACTGAGGTTGTAGATCCAGGACTGAGGCTGTAGAACCAGGACTGAGGCTGTAGATCCAGGACTGAGGCTGTAGATCCAGGACTGAGGCTGTAGACCCAGAACTGAGGCTGTAGATCCAGGACTGAGGCTGTAGAACGAGTACAGAGGCCACGCAATGCAGGACTATAGCTCTATCAGAACGCTCCAGGAATGGGCTGCCTCTCTGGGCTGCCTCTCTAGACTGCCATAAGCGAATGCTGCTTCCTGGTTGTACCGTTTTATAAAACACCTACAAACTTTAAAAATGACAATGTTTAACACTTACTAATAACACATTTAAATTAAATGAATCGTGTCATCTTTGGACGTATTGTCACATTGTAATAGGGGTTAGGCAGTATAAGTTTCGACTTCGCCCTAAACCTGCCGTTCTTAGGCCCCTTTCTTGACACTCGAGGTCACCTTACATACAGTAAAACGGTGCATAAAAACAATTAAACACAGCTACACACTTATATAATTATGAAGTTTTGTAAATAAAGAGTTTTATTGATTGGACAATGGAAGTATAATTACCTTCAATGCGGAGGTTGAGGTCTGAAAGGTTAGAGGTGAGTTCTTCAGCTTTATTCAGAGTTTGCTGAGTGCGATTGTCGAGTCGTGCAGAAAGACTGGAAACATCACTGTCCTGAAACACACACACATTTGTCACCACACAGACAAAAACACACACATTGTATTCTCTGACTCCACACTGGGAGAATGTTACGCACCGATTCTTCCAGCAGCTCCATGTCCGACACTATCGCATCAGTCACTGTCTCCAAGTCCTCAGTCTGAGCCCCCAGTAAGGACCGGCGCTTCTCCCAGGCTGAAAACTGAACCTGTCACAAACACACACACACACACACACAGACACGCACACAGACACACACACACAGACACACACAGACAGACACAGACACACACACATGCACAGACACGCACGCACACACACACACACACACACACACACACACACACACAGATAGACACACACACAGACACACACACACACACAGACACACACACACACACATTGGGTAAACGCTAAGCCCTCATACTTATGTCTTTATTACGCTAAAGTCTACGTTTTTTTACTTGCTTCTTAACCTTAATTTTAACCTAATTTTAACCTAATCTTAACCTAATTTTAACCTAATCTTAACCTAATTTTAACCTAATCTAAATCTTAATTCAAATTTAATTTTAACCTAATCTTAACCTAATCTTAATCTTCATTTTAACCTAATCTAAATCTTAATTTTAACCTAATCTTTACCTAGTTTCAACCTAATCTGAACCTAATTTTAACCTAATCTTGATCTTAATTCTAACCTAATCTTTACCTAATCTTAATTTTAAACTAATCTTAATCTTAATTTTAAACTAATCTTAATCTTAATTTTAACCTAATCTTGACCCAATTTTAACTTAATTTTAACCTAATCTTAATTTAATTTCAACCTAATGTTAACCTAATCTTGACCAAATCTTAATATTAACCTATTCTTAACCTAATCTTAATCTTTAACTAATTTTAACCTAATTTTGACCTAATTTTAACCTAATTTTTACCTAATTTGAACCTAATTTGAACCTAATTTTTACCTAATCTTAACCTAATTTTAACCTTATCTGAACCTAATATTGACCTAATTTCAACCTAATCTTAACCTAATTTTAACCTAATCTTAATCTTCATTTTAACCTAATCTAAATCTTAATTTTAACCTAATCTTAACCTAATCTGAACCTAATTTTAACCTAATCTTGATCTTAATTCTAATTTAATCTTTACCTAATCTTATCCTAATCTTAATCTTAATTTTAAACTAATCTTAATCTTAATTTTAACCTAATCTTGACCTAATTTTAACTTAATTTTAACCTCATCTTAATTTAATTTCAACCTAATGTTAACCTAATCTTGACCAAATCTTAATATTAACCTATTCTTAACCTAATATTAATCTTGACCTAATTTTAACCTAATTTTGACCTAATTTTAACCTAATCTTAACCTAATTTTAACCTAATCTTAACCAAATTTTAACCTTATCTGAACCTAATATTGACCTAATTTCAACCTAATCTTAATCTTAATTTTAAACTAATCTTAATCTTAATTTTAACCTCATTTTTACCTAATCTTAATTTAATATTAATCTTAATTTTAACCTAATCTCGACCTAATCCTAACCCACTCCCACAGAGGGCCCTCCTTGTGGAGCCTGTACCTGCAGCCGGAGTGCAGTGTAGTTGTAGTACTTGATGCGGTCGTGTGCGGCTGCTCCTGTGGATATATTCAACACGGCCACTTTCAGTTGGTCCAGGGTCTTGTTGGACAGACGCAGGTCCCCGATCAGGCTCCAGGTGCAGTCGTCACAACCTGAACCCAAAGGTCTCTGAGTGAGTCTTCAGAAACCTCCCGGATGCAGACCAGTGTGAACGTGTGAATGAACTCACTGCTGTTGCACAGGTTGACAGCCGCCTCCAGTAAACACTCTCCTGTGTGCATGTCGCAGTGGCCGCTCTCACACTCACACTCTGCAACAAACACAATCAATCCATTTATTTAAAAAGCCCTTTACAACACTTAATAAAATCACATAAAATCCATTCAAACAATAAAACAGTTAAAAAGCATTTGTGTCTCTGTGCTAATGAGTAATAAAAGTGTTAAAAGCCAGTCTGAATAAATAAGTTTTGAGCCTGGATTTAAAAAGGCCAAAATCATTAAGAACAGGCAGCTTGTTCCAGAGTCTGGGTCCAGGACTGAGAAGGATCGGCCCAGTGTTTGTATCTACTTCTTGGTACTTCCAGGAGGAGTTGACATGAGCCTCAATGATCTGAGTCACAAACAGTCAAAAGTTTGGACAAGTCCAGAGTAACATTATAAAATCAACTCGAAACGAGACTGAAAGTCAATGTAGGGAATAAAGGACTGGAGTGATGTGTTCACACCTGTCTGTTTGTTCAAAAGCGAGCTGCAGCATTTTGCACCAACTCAAGATGATTAAAACAATAATTTAACAATGATTTAATGTTCAGTCTGTGAAGAAAGCAATATTATAATTTGTTTTAATTTTCTAAGATGTACGAAGCGACAGTGGCTCAGTTGGTATAGTATTGGCGTTTGGGCCTGAAGGTCGTGGGTTTGATCCTCCTGCGAGACCTACTCCAACTGCTCCCACTGATGTCTGCTGTTGTTGTGTCCTTAGGCAAGACACCTGCTGGAAGATCAGCGAAGGACTGGTGCTATAAGCATTGGGTGCAGCTCTCATTGCCACCGACCCAAAAATGGATTGATAAAAAGGTAGAAAATGAATGAATTCAAGTTTTTAAGCCCATAGTTTTTAAATGATAGACCTTTTCCAAATGGGTGCGATGCAGTTTGATGGTAAAGTGCCTCAAGTATAAAGTATATGCTTTAAGTGGATAAAATTACTCAAAAAGCGATCCACCAAATGTTTGAGGAAACCATTAAAGGGTTAAATAATTGCATGGAATAACAAGTTGATTGGTATTTTTTAATCAGAAGACCAAATGATCCTAAAACTCACTCTGGCAGCCGGACGAGCTGTAGTCCCAGAACCCAGGGAGGCAGCGCTCGCAGTACCGCCCTCCGGCTCCAGGGAGACAGGGGCAGCTGTGAGTCAGAGGGTGACAGGTCGGACGCAACGAAGCCGCTCCGCACTCACACCTACGACAGCCCTGGCAACTGGAGAAACCTGAGTATCCATCCTACAAGAGACAAGGAGAGGTTTGTATGAACAATTTTGTATAACCCTAAATCACATCAGTATGATTTTCTCACACATAGATTACTGTATAACAACCTGGTCACTCACTGGAGAAACAAATATCAAATCCACAGAAATCCTCTTCAAAAAGTCAGTTATAATTCTGGATCAAAAGCCTTGGTCATTTGTATACAACTTGTATATGATTGTTCATTAATGTGTGTTGTCCCGATCAAATGAATAAATACATAAGAATAAAGTAGTTATGGTTGTTGAATTTACAAACCTGTTGGTTTGCCGACACAGATCAGAGAATCACTTCAAACACAAGAAATGCAACGATAAAACACATTGGTGCATAAGGAGCGAATGACCAATGACTATAAATGTTACATGTCCTGGATCCTCACTGTCCTCAGAACCTCAAACATCAGAAGGAACAACTAAAATAAACCCGGAGGGAAAATAGAAAAGAGAAACCTCGGGGAGTTCCACATTGAGGGAAGGACCATGAGTGATCCGCCTCTTCTGGACCAACATCTTTGTGTGTTGGTTATTGTTGCATTGCCAGTGTGTGATTCTCTGATCTGTGTTGGCGAATCAGCAGCTGTGAAGCCCTCCGAGGTCTCCACTGTTGTTACTCAGGGCGACAGACTAAAGCAGCTCTAGTGTCTCTCTGTGGCCTCGGACCACAGTCACTGTGTTTAAATCCAGGTTAAAAACAGTTATTTCTGCTAAAACTGAGGGATTTATCTTCACTCTAATGTACGATGATTATTTATGTGTTTATGCCTCGTGTGATTGTTTCTTGTTGTGTATGATTGTTGAAGTTGAATAGAATGATTATGATGCTGCAGTACCTCACACTGGTCACACAGGCGCCCGGTCACTCCCGGTCTGCAGTGGCACACGCCTGTTCTGTCGTCACATGAGGACGTGCCACATTTGTTGCACTCACAGTCTGAAAACACACACACACAGACACACACAAACACATGTGGAGAGAGCAGAGGAGTCAGAGGGAGGTGCACACACACACACACATGTGGAGAGAGCAGAGGATTCAGAGGGAGGTGCACACACACACACACACACATGTGGAGAGAGCAGAGGAGTCAGAGGGAGGTGCACACACACACACACACACACATATGTGGAGAGAGCAGAGGAGTCAGAGGGAGGTGCACACACACACACATGTGGAGAGAGCAGAGGAGTCAGAGGGAGGTGCACACACACACACACACACACACATGTGGAGAGAGCAGAGGAGTCAGAGGGAGGTGCACACACACACACACACACACATGTGGAGAGAGCAGAGGAGTCAGAGGGAGGTGCACACACACACACATGTGGAGAGAGCAGAGGAGTCTGAGGGAGGTGCACACACACATGTGGAGAGAGCAGAGGAGTCAGAGGGAGGTGCACACACACACACATGTGGAGAGAGCAGAGGAGTCAGAGGGAGGTGCACACACACACACACACATGTGGAGAGAGCAGAGGAGTCAGAGGGAGGTGTGTGGGTTATTTCAGGAGGTGGGGCCTGGGGAGTGCGTCTCTGCGTGACCTTGTTTTCCACATGACTTCGTGAAAAACATTCAAAGTCATGTGATCCACTGCTGATCCTCAGATACAGTTGGAAGTTTACACCCGCAGGAAACATAGATGTTTTGGGCCATAATTTACAAAACTTAGAGAAAGTTGAATCCCCATCTGACAGTATCTGGATGAGCTTCTTTATCCTCTTTGATAAAAAGTGAATCTGCTCATTCTTCTAAGCAAAAAACCTCCAGTTTCTGTAAATCCCTGGGCTGCATTGCTTGAACAGCTGACGCTCTCATGACAACTAAAGAATGTCAAAAATATAAAACTATCTTTATTGGAAAATGGCTTTGCACAAACACCTTTATTTCTACTGAACTGTAAACTATGGTGCTGTAGATTGGATGAGTGCATCAGAGGTTATGTAAAGATGGCTTTTACCTCTGCAGTTCTTTGCCGTGATGGCGTCACCGTAGAACCCAGGGGCACACCGCTCGCAGTGGGCCCCGGCCGTGTTGCCCCAACAGTGCTGGCAGTTTCCCGTCACATTGTGGCACTCGTTGAAAATCAGGTTTGGGTCTGAGTTTCCACTGCAGTCACATCTCTTACAGGAGCTTCCTATGACGACAGGGTTTCCATAGTATCCAGGAGCACACCTGCAGAGTAGGAGAATTTAATATGGAGAGTTCGATCCAGATCCGGGCGCCGAGGTCATGGGGCCTGGTGCACACTGCGGTACTCTTGCAAAGTTATTCCAATTTGGTTTTACTGCAAATGACAAATAATCTGAATCTGATCCTGAACTCCTTTGACTATCTCAAAATTGCTTTACTGTATTCAAACCCCACCATCTTCTGAGGGTCCAGTATCTGTACAGATAACACAGCTGACACTGTTGAGGTGACGTTTCCTGCACCAATGAAACTTGATACCAAATAAAAGGTGGCCACCGACAGCTCGACCAATGAGATCTCTGAAATGGGCTTCTTTCAAGCTCCAAAACTTGGGCTGACAACTCAGTGTTATCTTTAGCTACTTTCTCCACTCTTATTCATGCTGTAATTTCCACTCTTTGCTAATCAAAATTCAGGCCTCTGCGTTGGTGTTGCTATGACAACACAGATGCATCCCATCATCCACTTCATAGAACTCTATTCTATCATGTGCTGCTGACTCTAGCGTGGAAAGAGACAGTTCCACGGGGGTTTGAATATGGGAGATGTGTGTTCAAACGTCCAGCATGGTTCAGTGACTCAAAGACAGGAAGTCCAAGGAAGTAACCCATTCTTTAAAAAAAAACTCTGACCTTTCACAGGAATGTCCTGCGTATCCGTCCTGACACTTGCAGCGTAAGATTCCAGTTGCTCTGTCACAGTTCACAGCAAAACTGGAAAAACAAACATAGCTCAAAACACAGACACGGGAGAAAACAGCATGTGCAGAACAAGCATCTATGATTCAATTCAATGTATTTTTGTATCGGCCAAAATCACAACAGTGGATATCAGGACTTCACAAAACTGTTGAATTCGCCAACACAAAGAAGAGAATCAGTTCAAACAATAACACAGAAAACTCATTGGTCCATAAGGGGTGGAGACCGATGAACATAAGTGTTGATAAATGTCCAGTTTTTATCATTGCATTTGTTTGAACTGGTTGATTCTCTGATTTGTGTTGGTGAAGTCAACAGATGTGATACAAAAACAAATGGAATTGAATCATAGATATATATATTCTGCACATGCTGTTTTGTGAAGTCCTCTGAGGTAACTACTGTGCTGATTCAGGGCGAGACAAGAATACATTGAATTGAATTGAAATAAAAAACTCATTGGTCCATAAAGGGGCGGAGACCAATGTCCATAAATGTGATGTCACCTGTTGGAGGGTACGGGAAGAGGACAGGCACAGGGATGGCAGGACCTCCGCCCATTGGGACCAGCTCCCCAGAGAAATCCATCCTCACAGCGTTCGCAGAAGTCCCCCGTGCTGTGGTTCTTGCAGTTCTGGAGCCAAAGGAACCATGGGCTCAATAATAATAATTGTTTATGAATCAGAAAGATCTTACCACACAAACTCCAGTGATGTCGTGGCAGTGGTCGGCGTTGCCTTTGCAGTTACAGGGAAGACAGATGCCTCTTTCGCTCAAGAAGAATCCTTTGCCACAAACCTGCACAAACAACATGGCTTAGTTTTGGCCATACTTGTATTCAGACAAGACCTCTGAAACTGCGCAGGACAGGACCTGGTCAGAACTGTGATGGGAGACCTCAGAAGCAATGCAGGGTTAGGGTTTAAAGTGCCAAACTGTCGCTGTGTCTTTGGGGGTCTTTGAGAGTCCAAAAAAAGCGCTATATAAACCGGATACATTTATTTATCGCTTTAGTTTCTTTCTGGACTACGAGGTGCACCTGTATAAACGCCGCAACGACTGAACTTTAGTCAATGTTGTCCGTAAGTAGCTCACACAGTGTGAGAGACCCATGCTTGTTTCCGATGGCACCTGTGCCTCTGGTTTGAGTAATCATATTGATTCATTTTGGATTGATCTTTGGATTTGGACCTCTTGACTTTGGATTTACTTTCGCTACCGACTCGGCTGCCTCAAATTCATATGGATATTTATTATAGCACCAAAGACATTGTGCAGTGGGATGCTAACTAGCCTGCCCCCGGCTGGTAAACAAACTCTCTCAGAGCAAAGAATGGGATCGTAGAAGACGCTACAAACAGATACAAGAATACAAATGGAGATTTCTAAAAATCCTTAAATTCTTAAAGACTCTGAAGCAGAGACTTGAATCCAAGCCGCAGGTTTAGGAGAGCGTTAATCACAAACAAAATTTAATATAGCGTGTCAACAGCTCCATCGTTAGCTTCATCGTTAGCCTCCATGATCATTCACCTTCATCTGTTTCGAAGTGTCCTACAGCTACTAAAATAATAAGTCCATGAACTGACTCTCCCACAATAAAAATACACATATCAGCTGCATCCCTGTACAAGCCTCAGGGATCAAATAACTAGAAAGAATTAGTGAGTAATAGTCTGGAGATTACACAGTATTCACTTCATTCTTATGAAAAGCCTGTGTTTAAATTATCTATTGCAACAGTGATGTTTTTCTACCACTGGGTCTTTTCTGAGTGGTTTCTTGCAGATGCAGGAGGGCCTGAGGACAGGGATACTCCGGGACATTTAAGGACATTTTTAACATTTATGGACGGTCGTTCCTCTCTCTATGGACCTATGGCTCCTAAGTGTAAATAATGCATTTCCTGTGTTAGAACTGCCTGATTCTCTGATCTGTTGTTGGGGAATTGACAACTTTGTAGGGCCCTCTGAGACGACCACTGTTCTAGATGGATAGATTTTTGTTTTGATCTTCCGTAGGAGAAACAATTAAATACATAATTCTAAAAGTGACTAACAATAGCAGTAAAGTTGTTTGACTCAGACACATCTGTTCTATCTTAGTTTTCTGGCTGTAGACAAATAAACTGAACTGAATAGAGGTAAAGAAGTATTGCCTGAGTTCGAATGGAGAAGTGGAGAGTTCATAGCTGCACCGGGACATTTTCTACAGCTTAATATTGTCATCTGAGCCACGTTTTATGGCATTGAAAATCTTTTATGACTTGGACTACCCTTTAATGGTTTCCTCAACGCTTTGGTAAATCTCCTTTTGAGTCACTATATCTACTTGAGCTTGGAAATGAAACATACCTGAATGGGGCATCTCACTTGGTTTGAATACACTTTTACCATCACACTGCATCTCAACCATTTGATAAAGGCCTATAATAAAATTAAACTAAGATTTTTGGAAACTCCAAAGAAGAAAAAAAAGCATTACTTTCTGGATCAAAGAATAGACTTTGTTTGTTACAAGTCTCTCCACAAAACAGTTCTGTTTAGCTGAGGGATTCTAATATTTTGTTATCTTCTTTTTAATGTCCTGTGATTATTATTTTGTTCAGCACTTTGAGTTGCCTTTTGCATGAGTTGTGCTATACAGATAAACTTTCTTTGCCTTGTTGAAGGAGTGAACATTGATTGGATAATAATCTTGAACACTGACATGACACATAAGAGTGTTGGTCGCTCTCACACAGAGCTTCATACATAAGTCTCACATATTTCCCTCAGAGTCGGGACAAAGACATGTCTCTGTGCAGTCAGAGGAAGAAGAACAGCTGTCATCCACTTGTATGAACTCTACCCTACTATACCCTACTCTACTCTACTCTACTCTACCCTACTCTACCCTACTCTACTCTACTCTACTCTACTCTACTCTACTACTCTACTCTACTCTACTCCACTCTACTCCACTCTACTCTACCCTACTATACCCTACTCTACTCTACTCTACTCTACTCTACTCCACTCCACTCTACTCTACTCTACTCTACTCCACTCTACTCCACTCTACTCTACCCTACTCTACTCTACTCTACCCTACTCTACTCCACTCTACTCCACTCTACTCCACTCTACTCTACTCTACTCTACTCTACCCTACTCTACTCTACTCTACTCTACTCTACTCCACTCTACTCTACCCTACTCTACTCTACTCTACCCTACTCTACTCCACTCTACTCCACTCTACTCCACTCTACTCTACTCTACTCCACTCTACTCCACTCTACTCTACCTACTCTACTCTACTCTACCCTACTCTACTCCACTCTACTCTACCCTACTCTACTCTACCCTACTCTACCCTACCCTACTCTACTCTACTCTACTCTACCCTACTCTACCCTACTCTACTCTACCCTACCCTACTCTACCCTACCCTACCCTACTCTACTCTACCCTACCCTACTCTACTCTACTCTACTCTACTCTACTCTACTCTACTCTACTCTACTCTACTCTACTCTACTCTACTCTACTCTACTCTACTCTACTCCACTCTACTCTACCCTACTATACCCTACTCAACTCTACTCCACTCTACTCCACTCTACTCCACTCTACTCTACTCTACTCCACTCTACTCCACTCTACTCTACCCTACTCTACCCTACTCTACTCTACTCTACTCCACTCTACTCCACTCTACTCTACTCTACTCTACTCTACTCTACCCTACTCTACTCTACTCTACTCTACTCTACTCCACTCTACTCTACCCTACTCTACTCTACTCTACTCTACTCTACTCTACTCTACTCTACCCTACTCTACTCTACTCTACTCTACTCTACTCACTCCACTCTACTCCCTACTCTACCCTACTCTACCCTACTCTACCCTACCCTACCCTACCCTACTCTACCCTACCCTACCCTACCCTACCCTACTCTACTCTACTCTACTCTACTCTACTCTACTCTACTCTACCCTACTCTACTCTACTCTACTCTACTCTACTCCACTCTACTCTACCCTACTATACCCTACTCAACTCAACTCAACTCAACTCAACTCTACTCTACCCTACCTACCCTACCCTACTCTACTCTACCCTACCCTACTCTACTCTACTCTACTCTACTCTACTCTACTCTACTCTACTCTACTCAACTCTACTCTACTCTACTCTACTCTACCCTACCCTACTCTACTCTACTCTGCCCTACTTTACCCTACCCTACTCTACTCTGCCCTACTTTACTCTACCCAACTCTACCCTACCCTACTCTACTCTACCCTACCCTACTCTACTCTACCCTACCCTACTCTACTCTACCCTACTCTACCCTACCCTACTCTACCCTACCCTACCCTACCCTACTCTACTCTACTCTAGACTTTCTGTACATTATAGTCGTCCAAATCCTCAGAATGGTTTCGTTCTGAGCAGTCTTTGTGCAGTAACAACAGCTGCTGTGAGTGTGAAGACAGGACGGAAGTAAGGAGGGGGTGAGGAGGGAGAGGGGTCAGAGGGGGGGAGGGAGGGGGGTGAGAGAGGGGGAGGGAGGGGGGTGCAGACATGTGACTCACAGAAAACAGAGGATGGTTATGATCTGTTGTCTCACCAAGAAGCCAAGTTTAGACATACTCTAATTTGAATCTTCCAGTGCATAATACATGTTTATACGTGTGTGTGTGTGTGTGTGTGTGTAAGCTGAAAATGCAGACCATACGACGTGTGTTTGTGCAATAGAAAAGTCAGTCTAAACAGTGCAGTGTGTCTCAGAGGTGACTACTAACACTGCTAACACTACTATCACTGCTAACACTGCCAACAGTTATTATAATAGATCCATGGCTAACACTGCTAAAACTGCTAACGCTGCTAACACTATCCCAACACAGACACGACAAACCAGGACCACGGCTCAATCTCATGTTTTGTACAATTATAAACTTATTTTTCATGTGTTTTTATTCAACTTTATTGCTATGACAAAGTAATGAAATGCAGTTTAGCATTTAGCAACACTGCCCCATCAAAATAAACAAACAAACAAAAAAAAAAGTATATTGTTTTTGTAAATCCAGATATGAGCCATATAAGGGGGACCAATCACACGCCTTCGTTTGCAAGGGAAACTCCATCTTACCATAGCAACCACGTTAGCAACGTGTCTACCCCTGTTGCGACAAAATGTTAATGCCGTCGGAGCAAATGCCTAGCTAGCTTATGTTCAGCTAGCGTGACCATGACATCACATATCAAGTTGCAAGCCCTCAATAACTCCCATTCATTTAAGCAGAGGCTATACGGGACTATAAGGGACTATAATCGGACCGCTCATGGCCCCAGAGCCGCGGGTTGCCTTCCCCGGTCCAGCCTCTTTCTTAATGACTTCATGCATCTGGATCTTCGCCCGTGACATTTTAACGCTGAGCCAAGAGCTTCCCGTAAACAGCTCAATGATTGTGGATTTATGGCAACATTAACATACTTCCGTAAGTGTTTGCCGAGGTTCGTACAGAGATTCCCATGCCCTCACTGTGCTGTAGCTCTCTCCTGTAGCAGCTGCTTTCTATTAGTGTGCTGGAGAGGAAAGGGGGGTGCTTAGACTTACGGCCCATACACACAACAGCCCAGGGCTTCAAATTCAAGTCCGAAATGCAATTGGATTGGAGAACATTCACTCGGCATTCAACGACATTTTCAAATTCAGATATTTGCCATTTGCAGTAAAACCCCATTGGAAAACATTTGCAAAAGTCCCCAGTGTGCACAAGACAAGTACATACATAAAACAAGATTAAAAGTAGAAATAAAACAGACAGTGGTCGGTGCTCCTTATGGAACAATGGTGTGTTTCATCAATGAGTTTGGAATGTTTGATTCTCTGATCTGATTTAGGGCTATTAAAGCATACATTGAATTGAAAAGTATAGGTTCTGTCTCTCATTGGTTCTGTGATGGAAGCCGGTTCTCCAATAACTGCAGAGATATTGTCACAGACGGTGCAGCTCTACCTAAAGTAAGTCTCTAGAACGATGCTAGTTTCTTCTCCCTGAGCAATATCATGGGATAGACTATAAAAGGAAATGTTTTAAAGTTTGTGAATGAAGCAGTATTATGTGTGTGTGTCTTCTATAGTTTGTATTTGTAGTAATTGCATTTTATACTTAGAGTTAATGATCTTTAAATCTGCTTTATTCTGGTTGTATGTAATAACACAATGAAATTCAACAAGGTGTGGACTGTGTTATATCACTGCTTTTATTACGAAAGAGTAAATACATTTTTAAAGTGTAATAAATACATGTGAACAAATTAGTCCATAACATGGTGTCTTTATCGTATCAGAAAACATGTTATATTTTACTGACAGCTGATTGGCCGAGTGGGGGCTGGTCCTCTCTAGTCTAAAGATGTGACAGAGGCCAAACATATGTATCTGAAAACTAGTGACAGAACCAAATGTTATAAAAACCAATAGGAATAGTTCATTGTCTGTGGTTTTAAAGTTATGTATTAATATATAAGTTATATAATAATACAAACTAATATCCTGCAAAATACACTTTTTCAAAAGACCCAATCTGTCCTGGTTGAAAAACGTTTGATCTATATACTTGATTTAAACCAGAAAAGTCCTCGGAGAATCGATTGAAAAATCAGGGGAGTCCTGGCCCCAGAGAGAGAGAGGAGCTTTTGTACATGTTTATGTAGTGGTAGGGGAAACCGGAGCACCTGGAGGATACCTGAGCAAACATAGAGAAAACATGCAAACTCAGAGAGGGCATGTCTGGAGGTGGAATTGAACCCTGGAACTTGTTGCTGAGAAACTAGAGTGCTAGCCACGCAGCCTTTGCACACTTCTCAATCAAAACTGTAAATTTTTTCACTAGTTTCATTTATGTACTTGTGTATTCCAATGTGATTTTACTGAAAATGGCCGATATCTGAATCTGAAGTATTTGTTTTGCACAGTTCACACACAAGGCCACTCAAAGTACTGCAAAAAATGATGAAAAATAAGTCAAAAATGGCTCAGATTTGGCTAAATTTATCTTATTCTGACACATTATGACTGAGCCTTAAAACAAGTTTCCCCAATGGGACAAAGCAAAATGATATTGTTTTAAAAAGATACAGAAATTTCTCCTTTGGAATTCAGATTATGATAAAAACACTAGACCTCATATCTGACCAGTTTTTACAGTGAAAACAAGATACAAACTTTTTGAACCAGACCTTTCTAAAGAGTGTAAAGCCAGACTTACTTTTTGAAGTGTCGGCTGCTGTCCTCTGACTCTGGCAGCTGTGGCCACGAAGCCGCTCAGTGACAGGATGCAGAGCAGGGGGAACAGGGCCAGGGATCCCGCAGCCATCTTGGTCCAGTGGGGCTTCTACGACTCTTCCCTTAGCGCTCTACGGCAACAACTACTTTCCCTGCTCCTCTCTCCTGCCTGACGTCTGCCTTGACTGGTCCAGGGTCTGACCTCTTGGTGCAGACCCAGCCCACCGCTAAGACCCTCCTTCAGCGAGAGACTGCGCAACCTCCAGAGACAAATCACATCCAGATGGGAACAGCGACTGCTCCCATCCAGTCAGAGCGAGCACATGGTACAGGCTTTGTTTACATGCCCATAACACTGTCCAGAGTAGACTCACACATTCCATTCCTGTCATTCTCAAGAGCAGTACTTTTGACTGCATCAGCACGACTCCAGATGATCACCTGCAAAACATGATCAGATATGAAGTCATAAACGGTTGAATGATGATCCAGGACACTCTACATTAATTCCCTATGGTCCAATACCATGTGGTCTCTGCCTATGGTCCAATACCATGTGGTCTCTGCCTATGGTCCAATATCATGTGGTCTCTGCCTATGGTCCAATACCATGTGGTCTCTGCCTATGGTCCAATACCATGTGGTCTCTGCCTATGGTCCAATACCATGTGGTCTCTCCCTATGGTCCAATACCATGTGGTCTCTCCCTATGGTTCAATACCATGTGGTCTCTCCCTATGAACCCATACCATGTGGTCTCTCCCTATGGTCCAATACCATGTGGTCTCTCCCTATGGTCCTATACCATGAGATTTCAACGGTTTTCTTAAGTCTCTGAGAATCTACTGTTGTGATTTAGGGCGATAAAAGAATAAACTGAATTGAATACTTTTAGTTTGTTTTTGCACATGTATTCCAACAGGGTTTTACTGCAAATGGCAAAAAAAGTCAAAAGTCACAATCCTATAAACCACTCACTTTAACCACTTGAAAAACACACAAAAAATGACCCAATGTGTTTCTCTTTCCAAACCCTGTGACCTCTGGCCCCAGCTCCGGGCCACGCCCCTCCGTGGACCTGGCCGTGCGGTGACATCACTGCGTTTACAAGAACACCACACACCACGGCTCCCAGCAGCTCAAATATACCCTGTTTATTTTTGTCAGTAGGTCACCATCAAAGACTTCTGCTTTCCCTGTGGCTCCAGGAGGACGCGAGCAGAGCCAGCCAAGGAAAAGGACAAGGAGGAAATCAGTTTTGGAGGGTGTGTATCGCTGCCTGAGAATGGAATGAAGCTTCTGCTGTTTGTCCGGAGCAGCTGGAGGAA